AGTGGGTATGGGCAATGATGTTGTGGCTCTTCCGATAACACATGTAGGAATTCGAGAAATTACTATTCGAGGATGCTTCCGATATTCGAACGCTCACAGGCAGGCTGTGCAAATGGTCGCTGCAGGTTTGATTGATTTGAAACCACTAGTTACCCATAAATATAAATTTCAAGAAGCAATCCAAGCCTTTCAAACCGTGAGGGATCAAAAGGATGGTGTAATTAAAGCGCTTATTCTCGGCGATTAACATGAATTTCATTGAGGGCAGGAAGGGTCGCGTGCAAACTTTTTTTGCATTTAAAAAATAGCTAGTCATCAAACAAAACAATCCTAATCTACATAAAAATGTTTTTGCTAAATTAAATACACCAGTTTATTTCAATGAGGGCTCAATGAACAGCTAGCATATGCGTTCAACTAAAAACTGGAAAATTTACAATTTCTGCGTGAAAAATGTAATAACTCTCTCGAATGCCAATTCCGCACTCGCTTGATGATAAGCTTCGGGCCTAGTTTTGTTCATGAAGGCATGTCCGGCATCATATATATGTAATTCGTACTCGACGTTACTGCTCTTTAACGTTTCTTCAAGTTTTTCAACCGCTTTAGGCGAAGACATGGGTACCTCGTCCTTGGCACCAAAGTGCAGTTGTAAAGGTATGCGAATTGTTGCAGGATCGGCGATTGAAGCGGGTGGTATGCCTGGAAAAGTGTATTTCACATGAGCACTCGATGTGCATTACGTTTGTATAAAGCATACATTATTCGAATACATACCATAGAATGGTGCCGCAGCATCAATTTCAGGTACTCTTGCTGCTGCTGCGATTGAGACTGCCCCACCCATACAATAACCAACCACGCCATTCTGTTGATATGCTTTAAATTGTTAGTCATATAAATAATTGAGTGTTATTGAGACAACAGTACTTGCTTTAAGTGCTCCATTCGCTTTCAAGAAACGCGCTGCAGCGCCAATCATGTTCAAAGCGTCATCCCAGTCAAGTCCTGTCATTAGATGACTGGCTTCATCAACTGTTTTTGCGGTCTAATGGAATGAACATAATGAATTCTATGATAAAAAGAACGAATCTTCTACCAGTAGACGAAGAGTTTTTTTTTACCTTGCCATGATACAAATCGGGAGCAATAGCATGGAAACCGCGGTCGGCGACTTGTCTGGCCAGCTATGAGAGGAGAGGTTTCACTTCAGGCTTATCGGTATGGGCAGTTATGCAACCATTTCCACTTGACTTATGAACTTACGTCTTTAATATTATCATTTAAGCCCCACCTATCATCAATTGAAACATGTTTTTACTCCTTCGCTTTCAACCGTCTGTTGCTGTCAATTCATTATCTTTGCTTACCATTCTTGTACAACAATTACACCTTTGGTTGCACCCTCTTTGGGGACATAGAAACCGTGGTAGTTTTCAAATTCGCATATAGACATTTTGTTTCAATGGGCCGATGTATCCGTTCGGTTCAAAATAGGACCGAAGCGGCGTTTTGTTTCACTTTTCACTTTGAACACGTGATATTGGCTTTTTTGATGTTCAGTATGTTCGTCAAAACTCTATGGCTGGTTTCTACCCTAATTAGAAAGAAGCGTACAATTATCATAATAACCCTTCGTTTATAGTTACAACTTGTTTTATAGTCATTACTGTCATATGATCAAAATGTTTTTATTCGTATAAAAACATTCCACATCGGTTGACGGACTATATTCCGTTTTACTGTTCTTGATGGCCAGTCACCTGTATACGCATATGGCATGTCGTACGACCATATCTTTCAAGATAACGAAATGTTTTAGGCTTAGATTTTACTTGAACATCAATCATACAACCACATTATTTTCTACATAACGGGAGCAGGTTGAGGAGGCTTTAGAGAGTCATCAATATTTTTACGCTGAACATCAGTACACAATTGGGCCCAGGCGCGTAAACTTGCAATAATAGAATATAGTAAACTCGTGCTGGGCACGGCGAGAAACAATCTAATAAGAGATTAGTAGCGTCATTCAGTAATATGTAATTATAAAGACAAACCTAATAAATTTGTGAAGAATCATCAATGACATAGCCGTATACCTACGGAATATTGCCATCCGCTGTGGGATAAAATCCCGTATGGCCGGAAGATAATACATTGAAATACATCAAAATGGAAGGAAACATAACAAATGACATGTTCGGCCTCATACTCCAGCACGGCCTCTGCTTCGAATATGAATATAGTAATGTGAATGATCCTTGCATGGCATAGTAACACGCATAATATCACATGTTTTATTGAATTTATGTTACCCAAATTAAAATTACTATTACTGATATATTACAACGAAAGCTCTTGCATAAGAATGCGTTGTCTTGGCAATGGTATCCGATAATATCACAAGTCGGGGAAAATTGTTTTCATCAAATACAACGATAAACAAATTTCCACATTTTATACTCGTTTCATATCAACCCAATCCCATGCCATGCCATGATTTTATTAAGGAATAAATTCGAAGCAATATATCGTTTTAATAATAGTACAAGTAAATTTACAGAAACAGCAAAATCTAGAAATATGTCAAATTGCACAAGCTTCTCTCACCCATACGTGATGTACTCCACTCGTATATCTCTTCCCCCAGTGTCTTTATTGTGAATACCAAACGTATCCTTGTTTTGTGACTTCATCGAAATATTTGGGGATTGGGAAGATATTGCAGAGTGGAAATATTCTGTATCATCTGTATCGCTTGACGCTGCACGTGAGTTACCAAAAGACGAACTGTTGATTGTGTAATCCCGTGACATGCCAGTTTCGTTTGATCTGACAGTTGTCACATTTTGAGATAGATTGTAACTGACAGATTGTTCGGGTGCTGGCGATAACTGACTTGTAGGTGGTGGATGTGATGAAGCTGATAGCCCCATAGAATTAACTCCACGGGACGGATCCACATGATAATCATAGTTGCTGACTAATGAACCGTTGTATCCATTGACATAAGTGCTACCATGTTCACCCGTATATCCGTAACCGTATCCATTACCAATCCTACTATTGACATCTATATTTTGATTTACTCCAACGGGCGTCATGTTTCCGAATCCTTGTGATGAAACGGGATTATTATGAACATGTTTAGATTGAGACAAGGATGATGAAGATGCTGGTGACGAGAAAGAAGAGGTAGGAATGCTAGTTGGTAACGTTGGTGGATTGAGGGAATTACCGACGATCACATTGTTTGCGTCAAAGCTTTTATCATCTCCGATTCTGTTTAAACCCCGATCCGTATTCAAAGGTCTCTCATACATGTCTCTTGTCACCCCTTTCGGTTCTTGCCCGGCATTGATCTCAACTTTCTCCAACTGCGATAATTTAGCAACTGCCGTCTTAAATGCAGCGCTCTCCAACAATTCATTACTTTCTTCTGATTCATCACGGCGAGCGGTAATCCGAGAAGCATTTGTCTCTCCCATCTCCAGAGAAGCATCTGTAGGATAATTTGGTGCATCCTGACTGGAACGTTTTGGAAATACTTTTTCCCAGAAAGACACACTATGAGTCGACGAGGAAGTAGAGATTGGTCTACTGGATATCAAGTTTGTTGCAGACGTCACTCGAACTTTTGAAGATTTTGGAGGGACTGATTGAGTGATTTCGGTGGTTCCACTTGGCCTTTCACCCAGTGACCTATCAGACAGTTCATACGTTTCACTTTGTAACCCGCTTTGCATCATTATTCCACCACCTTGTCCACCTCCGTTGTCATCATCTTTTCCATCGTCCTTGTCGGGTAGATCATGCTCTGCTGCGTGCGCAACGACTCTCTTCTTCCCAAGAGCAAATTCCAAATCTAACAACCTATTACCCTTTGTTGTTGATGAACCTCGCATCCAATTCCAGGCATACTTGAATAATCCCACCACTTCTCTAATGAAGTCTATCGGGTTCAGACTATCCCAAAAGGCACTCCATGCAGAAGTCGGCTTAGGTGAACGATAAGGCTTGTATGAAAAAGCGTACACGTGAACGAAAGCAAATATTATCATTTCGAAGCATATTAAGATTGCATTTATGCCTAAGGTGATATTGTGAGTCGTCCTGGAAATAAACATAGGAAATTTGGTTAAAATAATAAGGAAAAATGTGTGCAATGTATAGATAATGATAGAATCACATGTGAATCACAGACATTCGCAACCTCGACGAATTATCTAGGAAATGTAGAATATTTACCAGTATTGAGTTTCTTTGATTATTCCCAAATATATGAGTATATTTAAAAGAATCGCTTGCCAGAAGGAGAAAAAGATAACCTGCACAAGATAGAAACGAGTTAGATTGTGTACGTAATATAATGCAAACAGATTTACAATTGCCGGTGACAACTAATGCTGCAACAGTTTGCAAGCTACGCGTATGTCCACCAACTCTCTCCATTCTCCTGCCTAAATTTGAACACGTTACCAATTTAACAGCCAAAAACTTCAAAAACGGTTTCTCCTTTTTGATCAGCTCCCTAATAGTAACGTAAAACGTGATCAAATAGTACATTGCCACGGACACACTTATAAAGTTCACGACTTGTATCCAAAAGTTTCCAAACGCGGGCGAAAAACTCTCCTCACACAGCACATCATGATACTGCAACACGACCGCAACGACCGTCACAATTGGCTTAACTATGACATATTGGAGTATTCCCCATTTTATCCAAAATAACCAATGCTGCTTTGTTGGATTATATCGCAAGAAACAAAGTGGCATCATTAGACTTCGTTTTTTTGTATTGAGTAATTGTCTTCTCTGTTCTTCAGGTGAGTCACCAAGGTATCGAAGTAAAAGGATGAAGAACGAAGCCAGTACAAATGCTTCATAACAATCACGGATTGTTATGTAGTAAGTACTCTCGGTGTAGAAGCGATAACTCAGCCATGAGATTAGAGAATATAATGGTGCCATGAGACAGATACGTATTATGTAACGCTGATGGTCGGGCTGTCGTTAGAAACGAATGTGTGGAGGAAGTCAAAGGATATAAAGCATGTGTGAGAATTAGATATATTTCATGCAACCAAACCTTTCTTCTTTATAGCCGCGTCCTTTCTATTATTATTACCTTTGTGTAATTTCGCATATGTTTATATATCAGATAGAACGAAATTATACATGCAATTAATGTGCAAATGCCAGAGAATGCCCAGCCGAGCCGATGAGCATCGAAATTGATGTTCTTTGGGTCAAAAAACGGCGTTGGGTCTTTTTCCTTTTCGACATATGGACATGTTGTATTGAAAAACATTCCGAATTAAAAGACAACAGTAGAAAGAATAAGAGAAGAAGAAGGGAGAAGAGGGGAATTTGCTAGAACGGGGGAAGGGGTGAGGGGTGGGGGGAAGGGGGCTGAGCGAAGGTTCGACGTCGAAGGCTGTGCTGTTAATTAATCCAGATCGTTGATACACAACTTCGGCTGTATTCACTTGCTATTACTAGTAAGTTGTAGTAAATAAACGAGCAGTTAAACGATAATTATAATAAGAGTAAATAGTAATAAGAATGCAAGTTTTTTTTCCCTCGTGATTATCAAATTTAATATTAAGAGATAGAACTCGAAATTTAATGGCAAAATTTCATGTTTATAAATGAAATAGGGTTTATGAAATTAGGAAAGAGTGTTTCTCGAAAAGTGTAATGAATGGTTTAAATGGTGATAACGATTAAAGGCGACTACAACTTTACAGCTCCTTCATTTCTAATTAGGATACAAATTGAATACAAAATATACATGGCAGCTTCAGGGGAACGTTGTACTATATTATATGTAGGGCAATATCTTATCCATTAATATTTAGCGCCACAAGAAAACAAGTCGGGGGCATACGAGAGAATGTACAGGGGAAGCAAATTGTTTAACCGCAGATGATTCAGTCAGGTGTTTTACCAGAAATAGAAATCAATTATGCAAAACCAAATTTGTATAGGCTTTGATTGGGCTCTCTTCCGACTGTGACTTTTTCTACAATACCTTAGCTGATTCCATAATTTCAACTGCGATACAAGTTAAGCGGTCGATGTCTCATGCATTACCATGGAAAATCTGTAACCGTGAGAACATTGTCAACGGCTGATGATTCCCGCTCTTGCCAATTATAGAAAACTGAATACCTTTATGCCCTTTTCAAATCTAGTAACAATGGCGGACGCACGGTATTATTATTAGCAACGAGTTTGGGACGCTTTTAATAAAAAAGTTCGGACGACTGAAGTTTTGCGATAAATCTCAAAAAATAATGAGGAAGTTGTACTAGAATCTTATCGAGTCGCAGTTGTTGATATCGCACAATTCTTTCTATGTAGACATTCCTATTAAAAGACTTGGAAATTTTGTCATTTATATGCGGCAAACGTGACAGAAACTGCTTTAAAAACTACGTATATCATCCAACTGTGCAAGCATATGTTTAATGTTAAAACTGCATCGTTTCCGAAAGTGGTAACTTAATCGCCGAAGGAAGATCTTTAATAAAGAAAATTAAAATAATTACCGGGACGATCACTTTCATTAATACCTAAATAAACTTCCTAACGAGTTACCATTAGCCTTATAGTAATGTTGATGAAAACCTGCGAAGTTGATTGAACAAAATTATAGAAACCCATCGATTAAATAAAAATCAAACATGAATGTTCGTAATGGTAATCCGATTCAATTACCTGTCTGCTAAACTGACCGACTTGTCCATTGTTAGATAAAAGAGCCAATTTTATATGAACAAAGTTTATAATCTAGTCAATTGTTCTATTGTCCGCAGTAGTTGACGTAATAATAACGTGGTAATCACGTATTTCAAATCCGGAATATCACGTGAACTCTAAGAATAATAAGAAATTGCCCAGATTTAAAATTAGTTTCTTTGGCTCATAATCAATTAACCAAACTAACTATTGAGAATTGTCCTGTTATGAAAGAATTCTATACTTCTTTTAACCAATTAACTAGTTAAGATTCCTCGTAAACAAGATAACGCGCTTTACGCTTTTACCTTGCAAAAGATAACAAGCGAACTTTTATAATGGAATACGACACAAGCGCCCAAAATTTTTTCTCCGTTCCGAGTTTTGTTGTGTCAGCACGACTGGCAAGGGACGGAGAACAAGTTCAAGTTGCTCTCGCCTCCATTAGGAGGCGACATTTTAATGCGCTGGTCGCATCAAGTAGCTTTGTCGTGTTTTCTTGGCTAACGGGTCAGAAATACTACCAGCAAGGCGCCGGGCCTATTCGATGCGTCTCGAAGATTATCAGCAGTGGAGAGACCTGCCGAGGTGGGATGAAACAAGAAGGTTTTCGCGCTAGCATTTGTATAGCCAGCGAATGCGTCAGGAGGAAAGGGAGAACCGAAGGCAGGTAAACTATTCATTGGATATCGCGGCGTGAGGAGCATATCGATCCTCAAGCTTTCTATTAAAGAGAGCGGAGGCTGGAACTTAGTCTCAGGGGATTAAATATGGCAATGAACCGCCCGGCTGACTACGTCTCCGTAACGCTGCAAAGACGCCCTCACTCCATTCCACCGTGGGGTTTGAGGGCGACTAACGCCATGAATAGAATATTTCCACGAAATAGACCTGTTTTGGTGCCTCGGGGAAATCTTCCTCCTCAACAGGATAAGATAAATAAATTTATTAAATTATTTATTCATTTTTTTTATTTAAACAAGTGATATTTTTTTCAAATAGGAATGTCCCCTTCCCTCCCGCCCGTGGTTGATTACTCACCTAGATGGCCAGGGCGAAGAAGAGATGTGGTGCAAGATAATCAAGGTAGACATAAGTGAAAATAAACACTCTCGACATACAATACTTATTTATAAAGCGTTCTGGCTAAAGTAACTTTTTTTTTTTGAAATAGCACCTCCATCACAGTCACCAGCCTCCTCGACCCAGCAAGGATCGGTCGATACGAGGAATCAGTAAGTTTTGTGACGTTATTTATCATTAAATTTGGTAAGGTATTAATAATATTTGCTTTAACATTAAAGGGAAATTGTGGTGCAGCCACCTCAGCCGAGACGCAACCCACCCCGAGCCGCAAGACCACAAAATTCGAACAGAAGGCAGTAAGTTTTAGTAAAACTTTATTTTATTACAAGTTAGATATTTATTTACGTTTGTTTTATAGGGTCGACACGGCACAGCCACCACAACCGCGACGAAATCCGCCTCGAGCTGCAAGACCGCGGGTAAATAAATTGCGAGGCTTGTGATGACAGCAGACAAACTTATTATTATGATATTATTATGAGATAAATTGAAATGATTTTTACACTTGAATTTTGTTATTATTATTGAATAATAAAAATTTACTGCGACTTTGTGCAACATTAAGTTTATACGTGCTCATCTCTCCAGCCACATTTTAATTTTGCTATATATTAATATTCACTCTCACTTTTGTGCTTTGAATTAATTGGTTCATAATAATAATGTTAGTCAATACTAAAGTAATGGATGCGAGACTCCATCAATTGTTCGATCTGGCATTCAACAGAAGAGACGAATGTTTGATTCATAACATTGAAATTCCGAAATTAATTCTTGTTAACGGACCTACTGGCATTGGAAAAACTTATATAATAACGCATCTTGCAAAACTATTTAAAGTTAAGGTGATACTTGGCCTTATAGCCCCGATATTTGTCCGTTCTATACATCGACTAAATCTGAACAGATTTTTTCCATTACGGTTGGAGACCTAGCGGCCGAATTTCCTGCATATCCAGATAAAGGTATACGGGCTTATTTGACCAAAGTTGTGAAAGAAGAACCATGTATACGTAAGTAAACTGTAATGATCGCTGGCTGATCTGATTAACAGTACTGATTTTCTTGCTCCCTTCAGACAGTCATCTTTGAGGATATAGAGCTTTTCTTTCCTGTTGATGAAGCGATGGTTTTTGCCCATCAGGCCTGTATTGATTACGCATCTATCATAAGCAAAGACGTCAAAATTCTACTGGTAAGTATAGCTGCAACTTATCAACATAAATAGTGTTCGTTCAATTACATAACATTTGAATAGATCGGAACTTCGACAGATATCTCTAAACTCAACTCGCTTGTCAGAACCATGTTTCAGGTACAGTGCTATTTACGGCGGGCTATATTGTTAATACTGTTAATCTAACCATTCGCGTCAACTAGGACGAGATTCATCTCGACCTGCCAACACCCGTACAGAGACGCGAAATATTGAAAACATTGACTAATGGCCTTAAGACAGTTCCCAACATCAACTTGGACGACATCTCTGATAAATGCCACGGCTACCTTGCTGCTGACTTGGCAGCACTTTGTCGTATAGCTATTGAGCGCGCTAATATTAAAAGCATCGATGAAACAGGTACAAGATTGTACGCCAACCAATACCAAACATTGTTGATTCTTTTTTTCTAACAACTTACCTGTCGTTATAAGGAAAACCAGATGCATATCCTATTACTCGCGAAGACTTTGCTGAAAGTATGAAAGATATTAAGATCAGCGCGTTGCGTGAAAAGAACGATGTAAAGAAAATTGACCCGATTCGATGGAGCGATATTGGTGGGCTGGATGACGTAAAGGTAACGATTTGAGAACGCTGAAATGTCAATCATTTAATGACTCTACATCTAATTCAAATGATTCCTAGCAAATTTTAGACGAGTCTGTCGTGTGGACGTATAAACATGCAGACGCTTTTCGACGAATGGGAATTCAGCCATCAAAAGGTGTCTTATTGTATGTATATTATTGCCAGAGATAAAACTCTAAGCTATCCGTCTTTATCCAACTCGGTAATCTCTGATTTTAGATTTGGGCCTCCGGGAACCGGCAAAACCCTTTTAGCCAAAGCAGTTGCAGCCGAGACATCTGCCAACTTTTTACCAGTGTCGATACCTGATTTAATCAAAGGCGAGGTAACATATTCGTTAGTGACCCCCAATAACGGAATGACAAGACGGCTTACTCGTAATGTATAATTGTCAAGGTTGGTGAGTCTGAAAAAGCCATAGCTAACGCGTTCAGAATAGCTGCTCGATCAAGCCCATGTGTGATTTTTTTAGATGAGTTGGAAACTGTATTTGGTTTACGTGATGAGAGCGGTACGCTAGGCAAAAAGGTATGTCTGATTTAAAAGATCAGACGAGGAAGATGCAACTAAACTTACCATTCTTTATCTTTGCCCACAGATGATATCTCAACTATTTCTCGAGCTGGATGCTTTAACTGCCAGACAACTTCCCGTCATAATCCTTGCTGCAACAAACAATCCAGAAATGATTGATAGAACCATATTACGGCCGGGTAAACTGCTTGTCATGACCAGGTTCTATTCGCTACGCACGTAATAATGTATTTGCTGCGTTATTGAATATAGGGCGGCTTGATCGAATAGTGTACGTTCGACCGCCGCTACGTGAAGAACGGTTGCATATATTACATCTATTAAGCGTGAGAACACGATTTTCTAATGAAGTAGACTTTGATGATATTGCTCGAAACACGGAAAACTACACAGGCGCAGATTTGAAAGCTCTTACTCAAAGGGCAGGTTTACTAGCATTAAAGAGATGTAAAGAGGGAGGAAATGCTGAAGTAAGTATACCAGTCTAAACAAAATATAGCAGACGTACTGTTGGATCCAATGGCAGACAAGTCTAACAAAGCTCTATATTTCTACGAAGCAAATGGCCATTTCGCAAAGTGATCTCTTACGAGCGCTTGCACTAGTTCGACCCTCAATATCCAAGAAAGACATTCTCCGATACGAAAAGTTCAGACAATTATCATTGTAATCAATCACTTTTTTCCAAGAGTTGGCTATATTAATAAACTAGCACTTAACTCTAAAGTCGTATTTATTTACTTAGAGTTGTTCGAAACTAGTAGTCATGGCTTATTTAGTGCTTAATTCTTGAGAATTGCGCTTTATGTCAGACTAGCAAGTTCAAAACAAAATTGTTCCTTGTTTATAATTTACAAAAGTCTCATTCATCTTTACCAAAATCCATAACCTCGACATGAATGTTTCAATATCCGTTCATTCCGCAATAATAATAAACTCCTTTGACTATATAACAGACTCGAATAAACGCATAGTCCAATTGACAAACTCGACATGCTAACTACCGTGCAATAATTTTCAATGTGTGATATATTTCTTCATTATTGATAATCGGAAACTCAACTTCTGAGTCAAGCCTGAAACTCTTCTCGTAGTCAGCCATTGCTTTTGCATCTTGCCTTAACATTTGATGAACTTGTCCCCGAATACCATACGTATAGGCATCATCAGGGTCAAAGACAATAGCATTATTCAAATCACGAAGTGCCTCTTCGTATCGTCCTAATATCAGATTAACTTCTCCACGCGCAAGTAGACCGGGAATATAACATGAATCTATTGGTAGTAGCCGATTAAGATCATCAAGTGCTTGGTCAGTACGACCTTTGAGTTTGAAGATAGTTGCTCTCTTACAAAGTGCGTCAGTATTGTCTTGATCGACCCATAATAATTTGTTCAAATCATCCAATGCCTCGTCGAAACGATCAAGCATCAGATAAACCTCCGCCCTTGTACGTAGTGCTTCTGGATCACGCGCCCTAATATCCATTGCCATATCAAGATACTGAAGTGCTAATTTAGGTCGTTCCATAGCTAAATAGACTTTGGCCCTGATACAGAGTGTCGATACACTGTTCTTATTCAATGTGAACGCTCTCTCAAGATCTGCCAATGCCTCATCGTATCGTTTCTGCAGGAAATATAACTGTCCTCGTAGCTTGAAAGCAGAGTAACTTTTCGGTTGCAACTTCAATGCCTGATTAAAGTCGGTCAATGCAGCTTCATACTGTCCAAGAGTGCGATATAACTCACCACGGCTTTTAAATGCAGTAGCATTATCGCCATTCAGCTCCAATGACTTGTTTAAATCCACTAAAGCTTCATCGTACCTACTCATCATCCGGTATACATCTCCGCGTATACGTAATGCAGACGAACTCTCTGAACGAATACTGAGTGCCTTGTTAAGATCAGCCAGGGCGTCGTCGTATCGATGTAGTTTGCAATAAACTTCTCCTCGATCACGAATTGCCCAAAAGTCATCCGGTTCGAGATTCAAGACTTTGTTAAGATCGTAGAGTGCTTTGCTTTGATATCCTTGGCGACAGTAAATCTCGCTGCGTCGATAAAGTATCCACGTATTCTTTGGTTGTAGCGCGAGTGCATCTGTAAAATCAATCAAGGCTTCATTGTATCTGTGTAATGCTTCGTATACCTGTCCTCTCTTCTGCAAGGCAATAAAGTATTTTGGCTCCAATTTCAAAGCTCTGTTGTAATCGGCCAGAGCGTCATCATATCTGTCTCTTTTTCTGTATACATTTCCTCGGTCACAAAGAGCTTCAATGTTATCTGGTTCCATTTCGAGAATTCGATTTAAATCAACGAGCGATTCCCTGTGTCGATGGAGTGCATAGTAAGTATCGCTTCTTAGTTGCAGAGCAGATATCCTGTTCGGTCGCCTGCAAAGTAATTTGTTGATTTGAGCAAGTGCGTCATGATCTCTATCTAGTTTGTAATATATTCGAGCAGATAGTTCGAGCAAGTTGGTACTCCACGGTCTGTCAACTAATGCTTTATCGAGATATTGCAATGATTCGTGAAACGACCCGAGATTAAACAATGCTCTCGCACATTGATAGATTAGACGTGAACTGGCGGCATGTGTTTCCAAATTGGGATGAAAATCACTCATTACAAAGCGATTTGCCACTGAATTCGAGAATATGTTTTCTAGAACGGTTATTTTTGAGAATTTAACTCTGCGATAAAGCGGAGTTATAATGTTTGAAAAGTCTGATTGATTGTTCTGTGTGAGTATAAGTCGTTTTCGATCTTGATTGGCATAGTCATATAAGCCCATACCACAGAAGACTATCGAACGCAAACGATATGCTGTGGGATTATCCGGCTGCGAAGATAAGACTATTTCAAGATCGGTAAGTGACTTTAGCGGTAGATTGAGAGCCTGATGGATAGCGGCACGTATGAGATAGCCAATAGCTTTACTGGGACGTTTATTAATAGCAGCATTGATTTCAGTAAGTGCATCATCATACATTCTGCGTGAAGCAAGACGTATTGCACGTTTACATCTTGGGCGAAAGCCGCTCTGTCCTTTGGTAGTTCGGTGGTCTTTTGTAGTAAAAATATGTCGTTGTGAGTTCCGTGTTGTGTGAATCGTCGATAGTGGTGGCATTTGTTTATCCACAGAAGGCTGGAGTGAGTGATAGCAGACATTGTTTTATTTAGCAGCTAGCGTGTAGATTGTATGACGATGGTTATGAAAAACATTGACTTGATGAAATACCGTTAAGAAACTAGTCCCCAGGTTTTCGTAATTGTTCGTGAATCTGCTTGTCCTTAGGGATTATTCCAGTCACTTGGTCGTTTAACGTTATAGCAAAGAGTTCGAAAGAGATTGTTTCAGTTCGATCGACTGACGATCGAAAGATTAGGGGGTAAATAATAGAACAATTATAGCAATTATGAGATTTACATAAATTTTTAACAAATGAGTAAAATATGTGACCTGAATGCAAATTCTTTATTATTCGAGTCAACAACGCACAACCATAGAATAAAGTACACAAGGGAAATTATTTATTAAATCACGTATTCATGACATATATTGCATTGTGGTGGTATATGATGTGCGGATATTACTGCTTATTGTAGCAATTAGCCATCATACTCTTTAATACAGAAAATTACCGCTTTGGTTAGATGGCTGACGTCTGTATATCACACGATATAGGCTCTGAGCAATAACGGGTATTCTCAATGTTCGTGCAACATTGCGCATGGCGGAAAATAGGGCTGATTGGTTACTAACTTGGGGATAGACAAGAAAAAAACCATTTAAGCTCAGTGTACCTTGAACGGAGGGGGCAACTGATGTTCTCAACGATATAAAGCAAGCATTTCTAATAATTGAAAACAAAGAGCGAGAAATGGCTGATAACGATGTTTCAGAAATGTCTAAAGAAAACCTCCCCCCTTACGCCTTCAAACTGCATTTGGTAGATACGAGAACTGTGAGTAACGATAGTAATCTGTATGTGATGCTATAATAATAAAATTATGAATGTGCAAAGTAAAGTGAATCGATTTTTGATAGGTCTATTTACCTATTCCTGACTTTTGATATCCGTAGTCATTAGTAAAAGCATGGGACAAAGAAATCTCCAAGATTCCTTCAGTCAATTTAACTGATCCGACTCAAGGCTTTAAAGTTGAAACACATAACACAACATTTCAGGATTTCTTTACGAAGGGTGTCTTCCAATGTGTAGTGTCGCCCGCAAACAGTTTTGGCCTTATGGATGGTGGATTAGATTACTATATCTCCGAATATTATGGCGGGTTTGAGGCACTAGTTCCAATAGTCCAGAAAGAAATACAGGATAAATGGTGTGGTGAACAAAATGTTGGTACTTGTTTGATAGTAGATGTGAATGAATTGTCGTCCAGCATTAAGAAGTATAAACATTTGAATGCACCGAGATACATTGCCCACTGTCCAACAATGAGAACACCTAAATCATTGGACCAGAGTGATGATATTGTTTATAGATGTACTTGGGCAATGTTAACAGCTGTGAGGTACCATAATGCTATTGTCAAGTCTGAAGGTAAAAATTCCAAACACCAAAGAATTGATGAGATTGTGTGTGCCGGATTTGGCACCGGAGTTGGTGGATTCTCGGAAGATAGATGTGCCGCTCAGATGGCATTGGCAATAAAAAACTTTACTGCTGCTCCTGCCAATAGTAACCAAAAAGTTACTCGTACTGAGGGAATAGGAAATGGCAGTTTAAGTTGGGGAAGTGGGTTGTTGATACATTGGAGTTATGCTCGTAAGATAGAGAGAGCGGTTCAGACTTTATTTCATACAGATGCTGAATGAATGGCAAAGAGTGACATTCCCAGTTCAATGTCTTTTGATTGCCATGGTGCGTTCATTCTCATTATCAAAGACATTGTTATTACTAAGTTTCTATTTGTAGAATTCAATGAATAAATATTTCAATCTTCTAATTTTACAATGTTATCTAAAATGCATTTAATTGATTCTTGACTACTGTCTTTTATATTTAAAGGCCAATCCTTTTCCCATTCCTGTTCTTGTAATAAACTCCAATTAGGTGATGCTTGCTGTTTTAACCATTTAAAATCTTCAACTTTATCATACTGATTGATTGACTGATCCAACTTGGCCTTCTGTGCAGTTAAATGTAAAAAATTCAAGTCATTAAGAAATAATTGTGATGCGGCCATCCTTCATATTGTAAGCATGCAACTGTAACTGATATTATGTTAACGTACTTCAAACATCTGTTCTAGCCCATCGACTGCCAATGTGTATGGTGCAAACTGTATCTCTCTACAGTCTTCAATTATTGGATGGCTTGTCACATGCAAATATATCTTCATTTTAATAGAATCATGCATTCTAAACTGATCACCATAAAGCACATTAACTGATCAGTAATGACGTTCATGTAATAATGCAAATCTTTGGTTTGACTCTTACCTGGTGACAGCCAACAAGAAATACACATCTTTCACATCCATGTGACAAAATTGAGCTTCCAACAGGACCAGACATAATCAATGTGTTTTTAAGATTCTTTATATGAATAGCACCGATGATGATATCGGCACTGACTAGGTTTACGATGCAATCAGTGAGATTTGATAGTTGAAAGTCCACTATTTTATTATCTGCATCCAGTGCAACAAGGGATTTAATGTCAAAGTATTTTCCCTGTTCATCATGAAGCGTAATAATCTTAAAGTTTGATGATATTGCCGGCAAAGTAGACTCGTTAACTGAAGACTTTTCAGGCAGCTGTGCCTGTGATGATACTGTTCCAGTAGTAGATGTAGGTTTGGTAGAGATGGCTGCTGTCTTCCTGGATTTAAAGGAAAATTTACTTTTTGGTATTAGGATCGATCTTTGTTTACTCAGTTCTTCATTTAAAGATTTCACTTGCTAATTTTAAAGTTGAGAAAGTTTGTAAATATGAGACTACAAATACGATAAAAAACAAAGTCATACTCTTCAATCATACCAAGGTCAACTGTCTTTGATCATATGTCGGCAAATATATTGTAGCTTCTATCAACTTTTTCTCTAGATTATTAATCTGCTCGAGAATTTTGTCACATAGACCAGAAACTACGGAACGGGATTGCGTAGAAAGATCTGATATGCTTTGACGTATTGCTGGTGAAAGAGGACAAAGGAAATTACTACGATGATTAGAACAAAAGCCGAAATATATTACTCATAACATACCTTCACGTTCTTGTTGAAAACTATGCCAAAATTTTGCAGCAGCCTCCTTTGTATCTGGATGCTTTTGCTCTTTGATGTCATCAGCAGCAGCGCTCATGTTGTTGGGGTTAAAAATATCGTAGAAAGAAAAGTAATAACTGTAATATGTGATGAAGATCCATTATCCAATCAGTTTTCGATCGTCTATAAGATTAACTGAGATTGGGCAAGGTTCGTAGCACTAATTAATATTACATTATTCCATGAGCATGCGAGTATTATGGCTTCTGCTCTTCCTGATATAGTTCTCCGCCAGATACTTTCTTTTGTAAAGGAAAGTCCACAAGTTGAATTCGTCGAACGTCTTCCTTATAACTTTAGTGAATGGAATTGTCCGATCTATGACGATGGACTCGATACTCTTAGAGCATGTTTACAAGTTTCGAGATATTGGCGAGCAATAGGAATTCCTGTATATTGGAACTCACCCGGGTTTACACATCTCCCAACTTTCGATACTTTCATGAGTTTTATTACACAGGATGATGTTAAAGGACTCAATAATATTAATATGGCGATCATTGCGCCTCAACGCGTTACTACGCCTTATCCGCATTATATACGAGACATCGATATGTATTTTCTTTATACAGGAATTCACCGATGGTTGCTTGAAAGCGATACTTTTCGCGGCCCTGCGCTTATATTCAGATGCCGTGAATTGCTTCAAGCGATACTATCAATGTTTTCGCGATATGATGTACGGCTTAACTCTCTTGCATATCCTTTTATTCCAGAGTTTGGAGCTGATGAAATAAAGAGCTGGTTCGCTCAAGCCTCACTAAGAAAAGTTTCATTGTCGGCAACATTTTTTCTTCCGCCCGGTAATGTGCTATTGTTAAACGCTTGCCGCAACGTGGTAAGTTATTGATATTTTATTGTGGGCTTTCGTTCTGATAAATCGCTGATTACCGACAAGAGACTTTGACGTTTAGGAAGAATTTTCGATTTCTTTTTGGCAAACAAGAACACATGAGACTACAAATAATATCACTAGCGATGTGATCAAATTTATAAAAAACCAGAAGCGTCTCCGATCTATACATATTAAAGGAAGTCTTCTTACTCCGCATGAAATCAACCAATTGAGTAAGGCGATATTCTCAATGGGTGATACCCTTTGCTATCTACATTTTGAGTATATGTCCTTTAACGACTTTGATTGGAATGGTGTTGAGAAGTGTGTTAATTTAGAGGCGTTGACGTTTACTAGTTGCAGAGATGTGGTTAACATTCGTCCTTTAATTCACGCGAATTTGTCGAAATTGAAGCAGGTAGAAGTTAAAGAGACTACCGGCGTACCGCTTAGAGCGTGGGCAGATAGGTTTAACAAACGCGCTAAAAGAATACGTCATTCTATATAAATTTGACGCTCCTTGTTATCTGTTATATTGACACTAGACAATATTACAGTATTTAAATACAAATTTCTTATGTAAATATTTGCAGTCTTGACATCATAAGACCATGTCATATATAGGATGTATCACTAGTTGGCGTGTCTATAAAAACGCGAAATTATTGGGTTTGGATTATGTATAGTAGCAAATGTTTAATTGAGACTAATATTAAGACAACTAAGTAAACAGAACCTGATTCCCGCAGCGTTTTATGTGTATGAATTTTGTGCTGGCACTTTGTTGGTTCCAAATAGGTTAAGGTATGTAAAGGGTTTAAACTAGAATTAGGTAAATGGGATTCACGCTAGAAATATTTGGGAAAGATCAAAGGATATACAAGGTAAATGACAGCCGAATTGGTTGGTAAACTTATCATGGATAAAGATTGACTGAAATGAACGAAATATACTAATACATTATATCCTATTTTAGAAAAACCAAATTTGCAACGATTCTTACTTAATCAATCAATCAATTCATATTTAGTTAACAACAATTTTGTCCTGAAATCCGAGTTATTTTATCGATCAATTACTTTATCATATGAGATAGGTTGTGAGGGCATAAACAATAACATTCTCTCAGAGTTTGCGAAAACCTAGGCTGATATCGTATCACTATACTATTATAAGGCTAGCATCACAAATTTATTAGGTAGCAAAGTAATACTTTCCCCATGCTGGTCAAGTGTCAAAATGTATAGACAACAATAATGTGGTCTGCCGAGAATCTCTTAATTGGTTAAACCGAGGAAACTTACAAAGTTGAATCGAATATTATCAAGTTCTATGTAATATTCAAATAATTGAATATACAGTACACTGTCTCTAAATCTGAACGAAAGATTAAAGCGCGTATCCATTAAACATCGTCTACTCAAATATCCATCAATACCCAATCTGCAAATTAAGCCAATACACTGTAATAAACATCAAACGTCTCCAAACAACTCTTCCTCCCCGGTATCACCAACATCCATTTATTACACATATCTATAGCAAACTGAACCAATAAATCATTTCTTAAGCAGTATACAACTGTTGGCCGTCAACCCTGCGATGCCTCTCTCTTCTTTCTGCTTTATGTAAACCCTTTCTTTTAGCATGTCCATAATCGGTTGATGATCGCAAGGCAACTTCTTCCATGTGTCTCATTTTCGACCTGCTGAATTTTGTGCGCTTCCTGAAGAACTGGATAGTTTGAAGCGAGTCGTGTATCAGGGATTCGCAACGTGCCTTGGTTTCAATTGCATTTTCGACCGAGACAAATACGTCTGGAAAGCGATAGCTGGAATATAGGTAGCGTATTAATAGAGATGTAGTTGTTATAAAACAATAGACAAAGACATCGTCACAACCGCAGTTGTGGTGCAAACCTTAGCCATAAATATAACATAATGACTCTATGCGCTGATTCGAGATCTTGCAGTACTTCAGGAGTGGTTGGAGGCTGTTCTGGAAGTCGAACCAGACTTTCTAAGTGACATGCCTCTTTCTTTCCATACATTTCTGCAAACTGTTTTAAGAGAAGAAAGAGAAATGAGTATTCGGAGACACGTGTCATTAAAATAAACATGCTCCATTTAGGAACATACTTTGGTTAAGTAAGCCATGACTAGTTCATCTCTGGTGTTCACTGGAGATGTAACAAATGCATATCGATCTGCTATTGACATTTCCACCGACTGTATCCGATCTGCAATAATCTTTTGTGAAATAACAGACATCAGTTGATCACACAATATGGACGTAACATAATTTGACAAGCAACCATGTTTCTTATTTCTTACTTTTAGATCCCGAAAATTACAAAGAAAATATTGACCATCTATTTGAGCAAGATCTTCGAATTTTTGCTAAACAGTGGAAAAACACGCGTGTGAGTATTAAGATGTCAAGGAATCAACAAAGTAGTCTGCCCTACACTGACCAGAAGCTGGGAGAATGAAATGTTCTCTGGCAACTGATGAGCAAAAAGTTCCACCATCTCGGCATTAGGTTGTAATCCAGCAAACTATGTGTAAAAAAAATTAATTACATCAAAGAAAGCATTGGATGATAACATGTACGCCTACATAACTTACATCAATATTTGTGACCGCAGCATCCAACGCTCTTGTCACGTATTGCAGATCTCCATCATCCATTCTGCAAATAAAATTAGAATATTGATATTTATTAAATAATAGTAATAATCTTATTATACTCACGCCGTAACTTCTCCCACTTCGTGAGCAGTACCAAATCGTCCTGCTCTGCCAGCAATTTGTTTGACTTGTGAAGGGGTTAGGTATCGATAATTCTTTCCATCAAATTTCTTCACCGTTTCAAACACAATACGCTTGACGTTTCTACGCATAAAGATTGGTTACGATAAGTAAGCGAAACCAACAAATGTATAATACGCCGCGTACATAATCTAAGACAAACGTTATGTTATGTGACTAAACCAGCCTTACAAATTCAATCCCATTCCAATGGCATCACTCGCAACGATAACATCGTATCCACTGTTGGGATCATTAAATAGTTTAGCTTGTAGAGAACGAGTCTCTAAAAGACAGAAATGACGTGTTAATAAAATTCTTCCAAACACTGAACACGACTGTTGTTCCCTTAGCTAACGTCTTCCACTCACCTGGTGGCAATCCTCCATATACGACCGCACATTGCAAACCCGTGTCTTTTTCAATCATCCGCTTTACCGCAAATATTTGATATCTAGAAAAGGTAACTACTGCATCTCCTCGACGTATGTGACGGAAGTTATTGTCCAATGACCTATTTGATACGACCAACGGAGAAAGTCTTTTGTATTCTTTTATTTCTAGCTCGTCGTTTACATTTTCACAAAGTTCCTTCACAAGAGGGATAACGGATGGATCTCCGCACAGATGGATTTCGTGAGCTTGTAAACCCAAAAGCGCCTGTGTCCATGCCCAACCTCTCTCAAAATCCCCAATCATTTGAATCTCGTCTATGACAGCAACGTCTAGGGCTTTCTTCGTGTTTGCCATTTCAACTGTAGAACTGACCAAGCGGACTTGCCCAGGAATCTCTCTCCTCTCTTCTCCTGTTACCAGATTACATGGTATGCCTTTCGCGTTCATTCGTTCGTATATTTCGTGAGCGAGCAAACGTAGCGGACCGCAATAAAGACCATTTTCGGCCGACTCTAATCGTCGTAACGCGTTGTAAGTTTTGCCGGAATTAGTAGGTCCGACATGCAAGATTACTTTGCTATGTATGGTATGAGAATAAAAAAATCCAATCAATTAGTTTAGAGTAGTATGGCAATGGAATAAAATGACTCGTATGGGTGGATTATAGCTAGAAAGTCAAATTGTGTTTAAAATATAATCATCCGCATAACTTATGCTCTCTTACCGATTCATCTGCCTTGCTTTAGCATACCAATCAGCTGGAAACCGAAGATCGCTAATGTTTCGAATAGATAAAAACAGCTCTACTTGCTCATCGGACATGTATTTCTTCACGTTCGACTGAGCATACTCAAGAAATGAACTCAATAAAAGCTTCCTCACTCTAACTGCATGCCAAGAGTTATTGAAACAGAGTCAGAGATGGCATGAATGGATAGCACCATAGTGAAGTCATTTTCAATAGAAACGTCGACTTCATCTTTTAACAATTTTCAACTAACCTACCCCACTCTCTTCAAAAGCCTCTTTGAGAACTTCATTTCCACATTTCGGCAGTTCACCCTTTTCGACAGCCACTACAAAATCTTGCACAGCCAGTTTAAATACAGAGGGGGGTATTCCGACTTCACCACATTGTTTCCTTATATTTCCGTTTCGCTGAAATTGTAGGAGCTGTTCTTTTAACATGGAATCATCCCATTCTTTACGGTGCAACATAGCTAATGCTTGCAACGGCGATAATTCTTCAGGAAATTGAAAATTACGCGCCCGTCTGTCAGCATATCCACTTTCACGATTTGAATTAGCTTGCGTGCGGTAGAATGTGGCAGATGTTGAGAAATGTCGTGTGGTGTCGAATGTGATGCCATTTGATGATACTCGCTTTGATAATAACCGAGATCGATCTAATGTTCGTTCTATAGATGCAATATGATATTGTGTAGGCGGATTACGCGAGATAAGGTTTTTATGCCAATTGAAGAATAAAGAGTGTTTATTGAACTTCGTCCACATGGTACCAAGTTTAGACAATTTTGCAAACAGCAAAAAAAAAGTTTAAAATTTTATCAGTCTCGTGACTGATGTACATTTAAAAGATGATCGAATGATCGGCATAGCGTGATTTAAGCGCGTTACTGGCTACGAAATTTTTCGGCCACTTTTTTGAATAGTCAAAAAGTTCGATAAGTTGGACAACATATATAATCGCCGAACAAATTATAACAATAAGTTAAAAAACACGTACGTTTTTTAAAAAGTTTTTTTTTTTTTTTTAATAAAGTTGGCAATAATTTGCTATTAAAAATTGTACAAAAACGCATATTGGTTCGCTTGTAAGCATTTCGTTTCATTGCAACAAAGTTTTATTGCTTTCGGGTTATAGCCAAAATAATATTGTAACAAGTAATTATATTAATATTATACTAATACCAGAATAGTTGCAACATGTATTAAGAAGAAGAAATTGACGGTTTAACATTCTCTATAGCAGTAGTTTCTTTGGATAATATCATTATTACGGAAGTAAAAAAAATCTATCGGCGAAAAAGAACAAAGTTGAGCAAACTTCTTACAACAATATTTAAATATTTGAACAATAATAATTTGTGTATTATATTAATACGTAAGTTTGGTTTTTGTTATATTTTAATAAACATTTGTAACATTTTTTATTTATATTAAGTCCGATATTAAGGGGGGTGAACTATCAAGATTTTGATTAATAGTCTGTTATAGTGACAGTTTTTATTTCAGATCTGGCTTAATTCGGACATTGCATCGGAAGCATCGCGAGACTACCAAAGTTTTGTGGCGTAATAGTATAGTCAACTACTGTCTATAGTCCCTAGCTCGGTTATACTCATTCTCCGCTTATAATGCTAACCAAAACCATTTATATTAGTGTCATTAAGTACATGTTTATTGTCTCTATTACCAAATTAGACATAAGTAACTGCTGTCGCGCGTTTGATGCATCATGTCAAAAAAAATAAACAAATAAAACAAAAAACAAAACAGGATAAATAAAATTTTTTCCAAGAATTGCTGAAATCAAACATCCCAATTGTTTTGTGTGTGTTTTTTTTTAAAAAAAAAAAAAACGAAAGCTCTCTGCCAGTACAACTGGATTATTCCAAGTGCAACTATTAAAATGTAAGAGTGTGAGTTTTTCAGATTAAAATTGTGTCATTGAAAAAATTTTCATTAGATGGGCTTTGACAATTCCAGGTCAAGCTGCTTCCAATACAGAATTAAGATTCAAATACTAAAACCTTTCCATTGTCATAACACCGAGCTTTGTTTAATCTTGTCGTTTTGCAGTTCTAACAACATGAGAAGTCAGAGATTCAGAATAAGAATGAACTATCTCTTAAATCCTGAAGTAGTCATTGAAGTCTGTAACCACTTACTCGCAACTTACTACTTAAATAATAAATTGTCAATTTAGAGCGAGAAATAAGCAATGACAAATTAAAAGAGTTTACTACATTTTGTTGAAAAACACTCCTAATGAGAAAATTAATTTATGGAGTAATATCTAAGAAGCGGAACAGTGTCAATGTAAGGCACGAGTTACCATTTGACTGTTTTTTAGTTTTTATTGTTCTTTGCTTACCACAATTAGATTATTGCTTACTTTTTTTCCCTATAGTATGGAAGAGAAGTGTTGTGTTGATGAAAAAATTTTTTACAACAGCGTTAATAATAGCAGCGTTTACCTTATTTTTTATGCTTGCATGCCGGTTATTTAAAAACATTCCTTCATATTTACCAATTCTTTGATGGATATGAGAATCCTTTCCGTATAAAAAGATTAAAGAGTGACGACAGGATATCCAATATACTTGCATGCAAATATATATACATCCTCCGGTCTCAAAAAAATAAATCCAACATGTTATTATAATATACTTGACACAATCGTTAAAATTTAGTTAAAAATACTGAACTGTTAATATTAATATATCAAGGATGAGTTGTACACTACGTGTATGTCATACAACCGACTGTAATCTAAATCCTCTGCTCGAGCTTTAACCGCTGAATCTATATATTTTTTTCGTATTCGATCCAATTTCCGAAAAGCAACAGGTGGATGCCATTGCGAATAAAATAATTGAACGGCCAATACGCCCATTACCATTCAATTGTTGCCCTTAATTGTACAGAAGCATTAAATTAGCCACGAATATTAGTAAATTATAAAGTCGAACATTACGTGTCTCATAAATCCATAGAGTTAATCTGCGGGGTCGCTGCATAATTGAGTTTGTCTGGTTTATTCTCGTACTTTTCTAACCAAAAACCAAACTGGTAAAACTCAACAATTTCAAAATATACCTGTCGTTTTCCTAAATCACAAAATCACACAGTAAATAGTAAGATCCCGGGCATCTCGACTTACTTACTGTCGAGTTTTACCATAAATTTGTAGCATTTCAACGCATTTAATCAAATTCGCTTCCCATGGAGCTGGCTCTTCAACTTGAGAGGGTTGGTGGACAGCAAGAGAGCAATTACGTAATATGAGACAAAGGTTTTGGTCAAGAAATAGTTTCATTTAAATAATCGACTAAATGAGGATAATAATGACAATTGTGTTAGAACGCTAGATCGGTTTTAATGCTTTTGATAAAAATAGATATTTAGTTTCGCCGTAGGAGAAATGGTAGATCTCTCGCAATTCCATTGACCCAATTTTGTACTCCAGCTAGTAAATTCTAGTACTGTAGTAACACAGAAAATAGATCCCTTTTGTCCCTGAACTGTGTTACCCGAAACAGCTTAAAAATTTAATTGCGTAACCTTTTTCTCAAATTAAAGAAATTGATTATCTGGTCACAAACACTTGTAATTATAATTGCTATTTCGTTTTCACTTAATACTAATTAACACTTAGGCAGCTAATAGAAATAATGGAATCTTCCTTCGATCATGCAGAACATGGGTTATGTCTTAACTGTAATAAACCAATGACCGCCTATCTCTGGTGTAAATCTTGTTGTGCCGATAAGTTTAAAGAGGACTTTTCAAAGTGGACTAGCGGTGATGCGGCTCTATATGAATTTATTAGAACGACACAGCTGACTGCTACCAGTAACTATGGTGTTATGGAATGGATTCCTTATGATGAACTGCGAATTACTGGATACCTCTCTAGAGGAGGGTATGGCGAGGTGTATAGCGCCATCTGGAAAAAGGGCTATGCTAAATATTTGGACTTCTCAACTCGTCAATGGAGGAGAGACGCGAATAGCTTGTCTGTGGCAGTCAAAATATTGGATGATTTGAAAATGTAACCGAAAGCTTTCTTACTGAGGTACGCGAAATGTGAGATACTAATGGCAGTACGGTAGCATACCTTTATTCTCTAGCTATAAGCAAAATTTCATATGCTTTTAAACATAAAGGTTCTAAACCCTGTTCAGGGCATAGTGTAACTTCTTCATTATACCATGCATTATATTTAGCTTCAAGCATATTATGAATGCGCATCGAATGCAAATCAGATAAATCATTGCTTCGGCATCACTCGAGCACCAGAGACCGACAACATAGGCCTAGTTCTTGCAAACGAGCGATTTGGCGATCTGGGCAACTATGTTCGCACAGAACATGCCAACTTGACATGGCTAGACCGTGTTGAATTGCTTTGGAATGTGGCCGACGGTTTGCAAGCAATTCACTCCAATGGATTAGTTCATCGCGATTTTCACAGCGGTAATATATTGGTTCGCGGTCGTAACACGACTACAATAGCTGATCTAGGTTTATGTCGACAAGTGGACAAGTCCCGGAAATATTCGGAGTATTACCATATGTTGCCCCGGAGGTGCTAAAAGGAAGTGAATATAAGGAAGAAGCGGACATTTATAGCTTCGGTATAATTATGTGGCAAGTCGCTTCGGGCAAGAAGCCCTTCAGAGATGTTCCATACGATACATCCTTGGCCATTAAACTTTGCAGAGGTACAAGACCACCTATTATGAAACAGATGCCAGATTGCCTCAAGGAGTTAATGCAGCAATGCTGGCATGATAACCCATCCATGAGGCCTACTTCAGCAGAGTTAAAGGAGAAATTATGGAAATGGTTGTATGACTACGATTGTGAAGAGCATAAACAGATTGCACTTGCAACTAGGAGACAACAAAAAAGACAAAATTCAGGAAAGAACACGGACGAAACCCAAACCGAAAGTTCTGATTCACAATCGACACATCCGCAGGCACGATATTATAGTACCTTATTGCCTACACAAAAGTTACGTGAACTTGTAGATAACAAAGGTATTTATCCTCATTCGTATTCGCGTTTATTGATTAATTCACTGATTACAGATATATTTAATACTGACATGCTACATCCGTTAAGAATACGAAGAATTCGTAATACCTGACATGATATGATCACCCACGTCTAATGTGAACCCTTCCGTCATCATTTAACTCGGCTCTTAAACCTATATCGCTTACAGCGGGATGTTGCAACACCTCTATAGGAGCCAATTGCTCGATGAGCTTTTGGTTCTCGAAATTATTATCCAGAAGATTGCGAACAGCAAATATAGCGTATTCGCGTATGACTGGTGAATGAGATAACAATTAGTCATATTCAATAAACTTGAAAATATCAACGTGCCTCAACACTTACATGGGTTAGCATCATCAATACTGCATTGGTTCAATATTACAGGAATCCCGCCTAAGTTGCGGACCTGCATATTACAGATTAATAATATTAATTAATTTATAAATTATAAATGTAGATTCTACTCCTCAATTACGTACTTCGTCTTGCACACGTCGATTCTTATACGACATGTTAGCAATTACATTAACAAGATCTCGTTTAACGTTAGCGAATTCTCCAGAATCCTGTTGCGCGGAATTTGCCTTGATTGGTTTGGTTATACGTGGAATTGTCTCTTCAGCTTGACGCAATAAAGCTGCAATTAAAAAATGTATTGATTAGAAGCTTTAGACTATTCACGCTAATCAGGTTGTCTCTCTTAACAATATTCATTACTTACATATTGCAACAGCTACAACACCCCCAGAAAATAAACTCGCTCGAGTATTTTCATCTTCACTCTGACTTAAATTTCCAAAACATTGCAAGAGCAATATCAATGCTGTATACAGCGTTGATCTGTTTTCCATTAATTCTGGTTGAATTTCTCTCGCTTGGTCAGACAAACTATCATTTGTTGCTTCTTTCATTGAATTAATAATGTGAGGTGATAGCTGCTGAAATATGCAAGCCAGATGTGTTGTTGATGACGGAGAAAGTTGTGTCTGTCCCGGATCTGAAGAATGCAGTTTCGAGTCGAGAAACTTCAGTAAAGCGATTTGGTGACGGTTTGGCTGGTCTCTTCTGATAAACACAAATATGGATTAAATTACGTATTAAAATAAATATTGCAAATTGAAAGCTCTTATATGTATAATACCTCGCGGATATAGAAGGCATATCATAAAGAATGGGAAAGAAATCTAGATCGATCAATTCGGATATAACAGCATATCTGCGACATTAATAACTTGAATAATGAGTGAGTGAACAAGATAAGCACGAGTATGGAGCAGTACGGGTAAATTGACATACATCATTTCAAAGCGTTTTGAATTTTCATCCGCTAGTAATAACTCAGCCTTACATAATAAGTATTTTAATAGATCGATCCCAGTAGGGGATTCAACTAGAATTTTACTAAAAAAAGAAATTATTAACTCTGTTGAATGAGCAAAAATTACCCGAGAGTAAATACCTGCGCGCTTTACTGTTGTGGATAGAATTATAAACCAGCATCAACAAACTAGTCAAGCTTACTTCGTCCTCTTGTGTTGCGACACGACTACGATTAATAAAATTTAATATCATGACGAATCAAATGAAAGCAACTATGTTCATTGATAATTACTTCACTTTAAGATCCCTTTCCCAATGGTTTCGTTCATAAGATCAGACCATAGAAGCTGTTGCAGTTCCGGATGACCAGTTATAGTGTTTGATAAAGCCTGCATACTCGAATTGGTAAAGGCTATGGCTAATAGGATCAACAAGCAAATATAATTAGTATCGAATACTTTATGAAGCAGTGTTATGCAAAACATTTAACTGTAATAATGACCATCGTCTCTGTAATTGATCTTCTTATTCTCGATGATCTCTAAGCAGTAATCCAACGTTTTTAACACTTTAACATGCCATTCATACTCTCTATTGATTAGGAAACCTGTTAATTAAATTTTTAATAAAATGTGTTAAAAAGCGTTCTCACTCACACAGCTTTCTCCTGATTGGTGCTAATTCCAGCGACAAGATTTCGAAATAGCCTCGTCAACCACAAAAGTAAACTTAATGCTCGTAGATCATCTGCGAGCAATTGTGCGTAAGCATAATCCCAGACTCTCGTGGTTCGATTCCAAAAGGTGTCTTCTCGACCCAATGCGATTCTGTTTGAGTAGTCTTTGTCAAAAAGGCCATATTTATCCAATTGCACTGAAGATACTGAATGGTACCTGAAGTCATCATTCTGTAACCTGCTCACTGTTTTCTTGATATATTCAATTAACAAGCCAAGTCTGTCTTGTGTAGGATCATCCAAGTAACTTGTCAAGTTCTTCAGAAGAGACAAAGTCCAGGAAGCACTGTTTGATGACATCACTGCAAGCAGAAATTAGAAATGTCGTGTTAACTGGTTTTTTTTTTGACCGATGATTGCAAGAGCACATCATGTTAATATACCACATTCAGATTGTCACAGGATAACTCAGACAGCAAGCGTTATGCCTTTCGAAATGTGTTGATAACAGTTTCAACTAGGGAAATTTCCAAATTCGATGATCGCCCGTCAATCAGTGCCACGTGCAAAAGAAAATACTAACACGATGGATAATTCAAAACTTTATATTTACAAATGGTCGATTCATATACGGAAATCCACAAGTTGCCATTATCCGAAAAATTATTATGTTATTACAAAGAACGTGTTGGTATGTATCTTGATTAGCGTACGAGGGACGCTCACGTAAAGTAAATTGACATAATTTTTCGCCGACACGCATTTATATTCGACGAACTATCTAATGTACATATTCGTTGTTTATACCGAAAAGAAAAATCTGAAGACGAGTATCAACGCGCCATTGAACTGATTAATCAATGCACAGTGTCTTTCGAAGACCATCATAAGCTCACATGGGAATTAAATCGAATATCACAAGAGTTGACAGACGTGCGCAGGACTTTGAGTGATGTCCAATCACTTTACGCGAACGAGCGCCGAAATTATATAAAGGTTGCCGCCGAGAATGACAAACTGAAAAGTATAGATTATTACGCGTAATTTTCTTTGAAGAAACAATAGTATGTGCTTTATTCTCAACTTCAATGACATTCACCAAAGTTCAGGAATCTCAAGATCGACGGAAAATTCGATATCTATTGTCGATAACGCAATCTGGCGATGAAGGCGAAAAACTTACGACTGTACGGTAATCTCATACGATTGATTGCTTTGATTCTACAAAGTTTGGGCTGAATGCTGAGAATTTTACCCGAATTTTAGAAAAAGGCAAGACAAAGGGACTCTAGAGATGATGAAATTAACTTTTTAAAAATACGAGTGAAAGCATTAGAAAAGCAATGCGAGGAGCAGGTCGATATCGTCTTGTAATATTTTTTATTCGTACATGCAGTCATCTAAAACGCATTCACGTCGATATCGTGTATACCAGAAACAACAATATGAAGGGATTATAGTTGACTTGCAAGCGGATAAACAAACAAATGCTGAGGCAACAAATAGACAACGAGAATATGATACGCGTAGAATACAAGAACTGACGACAAAGACACAAAATCTAGAGAAATTTTGTAAAGAAAATACACGAGGTTTGAACGTTGACACTTCTTGTCTCAATCTGTTGGTACAGCTTCTTACAAGATGATTTTGTCACTAGAACTTTTGCAAGCAAGAAAGGATAGGAAATTAGAGGAACGTAGATTGAAAGAGGAGGAAGCGAGATTATTGCAAGAAATAACTGACCTGAAGTCAATGATTGTAGAAGAGAGAAAAGAAGCAGCAGAAAGGGTATGTGGTTGTTGAATTTATAATAATGCCGCGGAAATTGATATAACAATATGGAAAATTTAGGCGCAAATGGTAGAAGCTACAATGTCGAAAAAGTACGAGAATGTTAAAAATGAACTTCGACAACAGGCTGGAAAATATGAAGAAAAACTTAGAAGTTTGAAGGTAAAATTGTATTGATTTTTCTAGAACCTCAAATGTATCACCAATCGTACTCTTTTTTGCAGTTAGAGAAGGAACAAGTGGAAACCTCATCTCGTAAAACCGTTGAGCTATTACAGAGGAAACTAGATAGTTTAACTGCTAAGTAAGGAAATTTGTTTAATGATTTATAAAGCAGACATAAAGAAGTAATTGAGATTGAATCGAATAGCTACAAGACGTTGGAAAAGCGTCGCAATTACGACTTGGAAGAATTCACGAATGAAATAACAATGATCAGCCAGGTGATGAATGGACTGGAAAGACAAATGTTGAAACACGCACCGATTGATGAATATGCAACACTGGGTGGGTTCTGTGGCAATTTGCTGATGAAGTAATGTTAGTTTATATACGCGACACTCATTGCTTTTTTGATCTAAGATCATGATACAGATGAAAAACGAGCAGAGGTATCAAACAATATACGAGAATTAAAGGTAAATATTGGTATTTCTCTGTTATCGATCAAGATAAATTATAACTGACAGTCCTTTTGAACTTAAACCTAACAAAAGGACCGAGTTTATTCAATGAGTAAACGCTTTGCAGATGCCATCAGATAAAAGGCTTGGTTTGTTCGAATATTCGAGTGCAATAAATCAATGGTTTTCTTTCTTATAAATGTGCAATTACAGAAGTAAGTATTGATCATGAGTTGGTGCTTTGTTAAAGTCCAGGCGGGGGCCAAGTTCTTGTACAACATTATCTTGTCATTTGTAATCTGTGCCTTAATATTAAGTGAGTAAGGAAGGCTCATTGGGTAATAATAAATCAGACAAAGTAAACTAAACTAGGGCCAGAATTAAGCATGGTCGAATGGATTAATGAAATACAACCCTGCAACCTTTCCCCCATTTTATTATCATTTGTAAGATCTAATAAATCCAAGGAATAATGACATAACGGTTTCGGGGCCAATCTTCCTTAAATTTTTCCTTTCCCCACTGATCATTCTCTCTAGCAGTAACGCCCAATCCAACAATTGTCCACAAGAACGCTAGCCATAATGTGATATTTTCCCCGTTGTTAAGCATGACAAAACTCAAATAGATTAATATTTCAGCAAAATAATGTGCACTAGAAATGTGATCAAACCAATCCCCTTTTGTCACGGAGTATTTGGGAGAGTTGGGTCCGCGTAATGATGCTAATATTTTGTGTAGCTTGTGTTGATGATATGAAGCAATGACAAAGAGAATGGCAGAAAAAATAATCTTGGGTTTAACCAGAGAAGTTACCAATGGAAACACTAGAAAAGATGCTATGATGAATAAAAGTATAGTGAGCCGTGTGCATACGTAAAATCAGGTTCTATGGGATCAAATCTCGAGCCGCTACAGCTGCTTTCATTTACCGTTGACATCAAATACGCCTAAATTTCCAAAACCTTCGATGCACACAGCCAAGCCTGTAACCAGATAAAATGTTATTCCGACGAGGTAGTGTCCTATATGCATCCTAGCATCCTTGCTTGGTTTTTCCACAAAAAAGCATTCATAACCTCTCCTAGACACTTGTATAAACAGCATCATCAAGCCTATCAGACACACATCAGTATCTTGTCTGTAATATGCATCATAATCGCTTTCATCACACCATATATGGACAAGCCATGGTATAAAGCTAAATCTCAAATATAAAATGTCAACCAAGAGAAGGGATACCCAAATGAATCCAATAACATAAAACTGCCAAAATAAAGATTTAGCAACTGTAACTCTGCCCAGGACAGGAGCAGCTTCTGCGGAATACGTTTTACCATATTTGAGAAGTGAGGCACGTAAGGTTGGGACTACTGTGGATATAGATGACGTGCTGATCAGTGTTAAATAGTAGAGGCGTAAGAGTGTAAGCAGTGGCAACATGGCTGCTAATATTAAAAGTTCAATCACAATCTATCCTTATCTGTCAATAACTGCACGTGATAACCGGGAGGTGTGCCATATAATAACGAAACGTACAATTTTAAAAAAACATTGAAAGTTGGCTGCACCCCCACAGATCCAATCAATCTACTACAATAAGTGAGAAATCTCGAAGAGATTATACATGGCACTGTTGGCTCTTCCACTGAAGCGTAAATTTTCACCCGACGACATTTTTTTCCAACTAGGAAACCTCGAAATACGTGCACTATGGTTAATGAAACAGGCAATCATTCCTAAAGATCAAGAGTATATTAAAAAGGAGATAGATAACATAACTGGGTATGCAAGCTCGCGCTTCATGACAACGAGAGTTCCAAGCTTTACTTTTATACTAATTCGCTTTTTATCGCAGCTTTACTTCGCCAGTTGTATGTACACAACAACCCTGGTGTAAACGGAACCCTTTATACTTTCCAACTGCGGCGGCATATGAATCACACTATAATGCATCTCACAGACATGTCTGTTCGGAGTGTAAGGCTGTTTTCCCAAAGCAGCGATTCCTCGAGTTACATTTGAATGAGATTCACAGTACTCTTGTGCAATTGCGAAGAGAACGAGGTGAGAAAGTGGTAGGTTAATAAACAGGTTTTGAACGATAGGGATTGGCGGTTGAATGTGCATCTATGATATTATGGCCTAACGCTTTGAACTCGTTTATTCATGAATAGTACGAATGCTTCGTTGAGGGATGTAAAAAGAAGTTTTCAACGGTGAAAATGAGACGATTGCATACCATTGACGCGCATAAATACCCAAAGAAGTTTTACTTTGCGATTATCAAATACGGAATCGTGCCGTATAGCATTCGCCGTCAACAGACACAATCCCGGGGCCGGAACACGTAAATACTCTCTATGACATATTTACACGCCTGATTGCTATATTGACGATCTACCGTTTTATTAGTAGACAGATAAACAGACAATCAGCATCGCTTCCATCCTCGTCAACGTCTGCGTCGACCTCTCATGATGAACCCGCTAGTATGGAAGGGTTAGTCTCTTCAATGTCAAGGATGAGACTGGTACCCAAAAAAGTCTCTTTTGGCAATGGTGTGCCTCCAACCATATATCGACAACCACAATCGGATAATTCTTCGCCAAAGGCTAAGAAAGATGATCGAGCAAGAGGAAGAGGATGGGTTAAAGGAAGAGGCCGAGCAAAGGCAAAGGATAAGATAAAGGACACTGGTAATACCGGCATGGAAGTTGATGAAAAAATTGACGAGATGGAAATTATCGATACCGCCAAGGGAGATACTGTCTAACACTTAATTAAAAGAATTACCCGCTGCCGAGATCAAGACCCTTCAACAATAGCAATGATGTGACGTAATACGCTACATTATTATTCTTGTATTCATATAAAACATGCAAAGCAAAGCACTAAACCCTTGATATTAACAGATGACATGTTTTTCATTACGTTTTGGTATGCACTAAAATTAATTACACTATCTGGTTTTTTTTTTCACCCTCTTGCGGTGTACAATTGAAAACCTTAGTGTTATAAGTATCTAAATTAACCGACTCCCGTATAGGAGACCAGATACATATAATGCACGGGCGATCCATAGAATTCCGTTTGTTATCCTAATACTAATCTGTGACACGCTAATAGATAATGTTTACCTGTACTCTTTGCATTGAACTACATCAAGGATAAAGAACTATCCCCTTCTTCCTCCTTTGTGTGAGGAGTTTCTTTCCGTTTAGTCAAATATTTTGTATTAACGAATGTAAATAACTCGTGACTGTACAATCTGTCGTGTATCCAGAAGAACCAATCACGGTATTTACCAAATGAATATCCGAAAAGAATGTAAAGTTTCAAACAGTCCAGAACGAATCGCAAGCCCAGATGAATATGAAACCAACAGATTTAGAATGGTGTCATTGCATATATAGCCATTCAAAGTCTATTCGGCATATATAATGACAAACTGTGTGTAATATACTGTACTGATATCATTGCTGTTTACTCAAAAAAGTTGTTCATTATTCAGTCCTGAGGCATCCGAACACAATACAAACGGCTTCCGACTATATTTGTGATCATTTGCATTACTGGTTTATATGCGCTTGATGAATGCTGAGGGATATCCACCACTGGTTTATGATAATCTGTCCCTCTCCTAACTAGTTTTTCGCTTTCCTTCCTTTTATTCCCAGGGCCCTTAAGTAATATTAAAAATTTTTTTTCCGCAGAACTATTTCGGATAGTTCAACGTATCATCCCGTCTCACATCATCAACAGATTATATAATGTCCACGAAGAAGACTAAGATAAGCACGATTAGGCGTCTACGAAGCAGTAGCTTGACAATACGAAACGTTCTTCACAAAAGATCCATGTCTACTTCGGCCGTGGGCTCGCAATCCTCTCCTCCTTACTTTAGGAGTCATAGAATTTCTGTTTCCGACACCTCTCCACTCGCCAGCTCTGCAATTATCGGCAATCGACCAAAAACACGTTCACTTCCAACCGACTGTCTTTTCGAAATATTTCGAACATTTCAGTGCGATTATCCCACGCTCTTTAATTGTTTGCTAGTATGTCGTTCGTGGGCACATGCAGCGGTTGCATTCTATTGGAGAATGCCATTAGAACATTTAAAAGAGACATTGGTAATCGATAATTTCTTAAAGTGTCTGAATGATGAAGAACTTTGTCGTTTTAGGAAAGACGTTGAATGGGTTGATGAAAGACAGCCAGCGTTTAAATACACTGAGCATTTGAGGGCATTGAGTTTGGGTGAATTGTTTAATGCTGTGCAAAAATGGGTTGACAGAATTCAACAAGAGTAAGTGACGTTAATTTTGTTTGTCTTTTCATGTTTACGTTGATTGTTTTCTTGTTCTATATATTTATCCGTTCAACCCATACGTCTTGCTCGATAATCAGTCCGACACTTGCACAAGAATTAAGCTTGCGAGCATGGAGAATTATAGTAAGCCATGTCATGCTCATCTCTGGTATCCAGTCACTCTCGTTTGACTGGGGCGACAAGGAAATATGGAGAGAATACCCTGATTTATTGCGCTCACTTCCTTCAGAAAGATCACCCTTTTCGTCTTTACAAAAGCTGTCTTTACACTACATAACCGATTTCACGATATTTGCTCATCTCTCCCAATCAGCCACAAATATAGAAGAATTAGAAATTATAGACTATGCCTTTTCCCCTCCGCCAAATTACATCGAAGAGCAATATTTGTCTTCGTTTATAAAGTCGCAGACGAATCTAAAGCGGTTTAAACTGTTCGGACATGGATGCACGCCCCGGAAGGCCATTACATGTTTGCCAAGTCAATACCGAACGCTTACTTCCCTCGAACTAATCTATATCGATTTCAATGGAAGTGATGATATGCTCGGCCCCATTCGATGGGATGGTATAGCCAAGTGTGTCAATCTTCAGCAATTGATTATCCGATACTGCAGCTCAGCAACGATGGACGAACACTTGTATCCCCTTGCGCATGCTCGATTTCCGTTGCTCAGAAAAATTTATATCGAAGAGTCGACGTATAATTGGGACGAATTAGTGATTAGTCTTATCGAAACGAATCCAACAAATCTCCGCGAAGTGTTTTTCAAGCCGATCGAGAACAGTCGGCAAGATGGCAACGCAGACAATAACAACAGCAGTAGCTATGTTGATGTACATTCTACAAAGATAATCGAGACTGTTGCACGATATTGTCCTGATATTGTTCTCCTCGGTGCACCCATTGCTCGATCTCAGATACAACATTTGGCAGCTATCTTTAAACAATCTACCTGCCAGTTGAGGAGTCTCAGTTTATTTAAATCAACGCAGCGTACGGGAGTGCAGATTAAAGATTCATGGCCCGAACTCGGGTTTTTAATGCCAAGCAGTATGCAACACCTGAACGTTTGTATCGAGATGCCTGATGAGGTCATGCAACAATTCTTGCAGAGCACTCGCGCTAAATTGGAGACATTATGGTTCGATTCATGGATCGTTTGTTATGGGTATCAGTGTCTTATCGTTCACGATTATCTGAGGCAACAACATAAAGACCTTGGGTTGAAGCAAAGCGTAAGGCAGTTCTTGAGATACGTTGTTTGATTCTGAGTTGTTCCAAAGGTTAGTTTAATCGAGAAGTAATAATCACGTGTTTCTCAAGATGATGATGCGCGGAACATTGCGGCATAGAAACTAATTCAACTTTGTCAGAACATAATGAAGACTTTATTATAAAGTCAAACGCCTGGACATTTACCATCGCGTTGAATCACTCACACTCATTCCCACGCTAACTCCACACACCTCCCCCCTACTCTCGCCTCATTCTTACTTGAATATTTATTTATTTGTTTGTTTTTTCAAAAAAAGTTTGTATAAAGATATTTGTACAGTCATCAGCTACTATTACATTACATTTCAAAGGACTCCTGTTGTATAGAAAAGTATGACCATACCAAAAAAGAAAAGACGAGTTTTACTTACATATTTACGATTTCTATCCTAATCATCATCTATTTCCATCTCTCTCTTCAACCACTTTGGAGAAGGGAAGAGAGAACCCACTTTCCTTTCCCTCACAATCCCTTACTTATACATTCCATCTTATTAAATCTGCAAACCTCAAAATGACTTAATAAAAAAGACGTTCATAGCCGCCGGGTACTCTGGTAACTATTACAAGTGGCACAGATCCATGTTTACTTGCAGATGAATAATAAATCAGCGGTTAATATTAATATAATGGATTATTATTATGTCAAATTCAACTAATGCCACATTAAGCAGAGTTTAAATTAGGTAATAACAAGTCCTGTAAGGGAATAATCTCTCTTTTACATGGAGGACAGAAAAACACGTCTATGAATATAACCATAATTTTGCTTGTGTATTCTTCTGTACAAATTACTATTTGACACCAGGGATGCTCACGTGCCTTATGGATTGAAAATGACAATGAAACATGTACATATGTCTCGGACATTCCTTGAGTGCGAAATTCAAGTAGTAATATTACACGATAATTTTACAAAGCCATTTATCCAGCTTATAATGACAGTCATTCACAAGACAACGGTAATTTATAGTTAAAAGTAGTAATAGTATATGTATATATACATTAATATGTTAAAATATAAATAAATATTAAATAAGCTTTATATTTACCTATTTCTTTTCCACCTTGAGGCTTGTCACATGCGATAAATTCGACCATAGTAATAGCTGGATTATGAACGTACGTACACTCACTCCTGCTTTTTCTGTTAAATTATTAATAAATAATACCATTAATTTTGTTAAAATAAAATTGTTATTATAAAATATGACTTCTATAACCATTCCAGAGCAGCAGCCTATCGCGATAATCTGATACGACGATACACCAAACAGGACCATTGGGATGGTTGTCAGCTAGTTAATGCTGTTACCGACGAGAAGCCTGAGTAACATTGAGCAGCAGGAGCTCGAACCGTCTGAATTGCATGTCAGAATGGATGATTTATTTCGGCATTTGGAAGTACAGTCGACACTCCATAAAAGAACCCTCTATAAGAGAACAACCTCTTATAAAGAACATTATTATTAGTAAAACCCTTTATAAAAAAACTACCTACAAAGGAACAAGAACATAATTGCTTATAATTGCGTTTACCTTTGGCTGGCAATTTTTTGTTATATAATCGTTTTTGGAAAATTAATCTAACTGGAATAGTATAAACAGAGAGACCGATCAAAATCCAGACCGTGTTGTCATCGATACGCACGTAATTACTTGTAATTTCTCGCAACTTAATAACTGTCTATTCAATGTCAGAAAAAACAAAACCGAGCTACGATCAATGATTCCCTCCGTAGGGAAATACCTGTATGTCAATACGCTAAAAGCCATCATGGCACGAAACATTATAATATTGTCGCTTATTTTAACAATAAATATCTAAAGAAGAAATTGCTTGTAAAGTCGATACGCATCTGTAATCAAAGTAATAGACAAAATGGTTACCACGAATTAATTTAAACTACAAATAAAATCCGTTATTATTATAAGAAACCTTCGATAAAAGAAATAATGTTTCTTTCGGACTCGACGACTAGCTCTGTATTAATTCCGTTCGCATAAGAAGTTTATCTCTCGATAACGTGTATAAGAAACAAATACAATAAAAATGCCTGATATAAAAAAGTGACATTCGATAAGAGAAAACGTTGTGCTCGATATAAGAGAGGGTCAATATAACAAGTATTTACTAGCCAATTAGTTCTTCATATTCCTGACAGAATTTGTTAGAAAATAAATCCTACATAACGCATCGAGTAAACGAAAATAAGTTTCGCAAACTACAAGAAAAAAGACGTTAATAGTTAACAAGAAACAAGGCTGATTTTATCGAGCGCAGCGACAAAATATGCATTTTACTCTCAATAGACGAATCACAATTGCTTGCTGAATCACAGCGTAATCATATATTACAAAGTAAATAAGTCTATTAAAAGAAATGCTCGCGATAATATCGCTCTGGGCGGGTTATGTGATAGGATAGGATAATTATTTGGTGTAACATTATTGAATACTCGCTTGACACTTGCTTACTATTACTCTCTCTATAATATTATACACATTATTATACCTTTTACGAAATGTCAGTAACATCTCCTCATTTCAGCGTTGATTTATCAACAGCTACAAATGCAGACGAGTTATTTGTTCGATACAGTATTCCCGAGCTGAGATTGCTGGAAAAGAAAACTAGGTTCATAGTCTCGACTGTCTCTATTTAATATCAGTTTTGTATTTTAAAAGCAAATAATTCATTCGAAAATTCGTCACAGAACAGATATAGGGAACAAAAAACAAGAATTGAGGCTCATGGTTGGGTAAGCATAAGACGTTTCTCATTACAATTTCCATCTCATAATTAATATATTAATCAGTTACGTAAACATCCGATCACAGAGAGCGTTATAGAGATCTAATAGATGCCGCCGATAGTATTGTGAACATGCGTCAATGCTCGTTGTCGATTGAAGAAAAGTTACTTCAAATGCAAAACTCCTGTGATGTCAAGACTCTTAAGCAAGATGTTAGCGTTCAGTTACAAGATGAAAAAAAAGGAACAAATGGTATATTAGAATTTCGCATTCATGCCTGGGAATGGCGATCTATAGTCAACACTAAAGTTGGGATTCAACTTTATTACAGATGATAAGAAATATCATCTATATTCTACTGCTGCACAAATCAAGTTACTAGTTGATGTACCCGAACAGGTAATAAACGTGAATGGAGTGTATTTTATGATCGTATTAAGTAATAAGATTTTGACATTTTTACAGATATGGAGATCTTTAGAGAGTCATAAATATCTCAATGCAAGCCGTCTTTACCTTATTGCAAAGCGGGTTTACAAAAACCTTCAAGTTCATAATGAATCTATGCCATTTAGCATACCGGTAATTTTTTTTCTGTATATTTATAATTCCAATAATATTCCGTGATTTCTCTAAAGTGAATTTATTTAATTCTTAAGACCAGCTTTCCAGTAGTGCAACGCCAGTGGGATGCTGTAAGCCATTTTAAAACCCAAATACTTCAAAAAGCTACGCTTTTCCTTAAAACCATTGATCAATCAGAACAGGTAATTGCCGAGAGGGTATCGGTCGTGACAAAATGTAATTTAATATTCATTTCTTTTTTCAAATCAAACAGAGCTTGGCAGAAACATTGTGTGCAATAATGCTTTTGGATGATGTGACAATGAAAGATGTATTTAGAATGTTTTTGGATATGCGCACATCTGGCCTAAGCCAGCTTTTTGAGAACAAGGGCAATCTACCTCTGTCCGAATGTCTTAAAGATATCATTTTTCTCATTCGATCGACCGTGGTTCAAGTGGGATTGGTATTCAACAACGTTGGCAATGAAAAGTCTCTGTTCGAGATTTACTTGACGCAACTACAGCAAGGCTTTACTATACACACAGACAACCTCAAGTCACCTTATTCAGCAATGTCGCCTCGTGAGTCCAAGACATCATTGACAAGATTATACTCTGCTTCGACAAACATTCACTTGTTGATCAGGTATCTTCCCGAATCCATTCAAACGCTCACGCCTTTTCTTCACATGACTGGACCAAGAGGGCAGCTATCTCAAGATGATGTGAGGTTAAGAATGAATTTGTGGATTGATCACGTCATCGATGAGTTTGAAGGAGGAAAGCTAGGGTTACAACTAGCCAATGTCAAGTCTGCCAGAGAATTGAACAATCTACGTGGAAGTCTATGGGATGTGTTGAGGCATGATGAGAGTGCTGCTTTGGATGACACGAGACTGTCGGATAAAGGGCGAGTCTCCAGAACGACTAGTCTGGGTTTTGTACTGACTATACCGAAATCAACGTGGTCATGGAATGTGGTCAGTATCTGACGTTGCATTCAACTCACCACTCTAGTTAAAGCGCTAACACTGCGTTCATTTCCTTTCAGGCTTGCAATATTGCTTTGAATAAAAACTTTTCGATTTGGCGTGATCTTTTTAGAAAGGGATTTAACAATCGATTTCAAGAGATTGCCAACATGTTACTGGAGGATTTGTCGAATCAACCAAAAACTTTTCTCTACGATAAACTAAAAAATCTGGAAGACCTCTCCAATGAAGGTTAGTTATTGTAGTGTGGTTGACTGCAGCCTCGACAAACGACTAATTCAAGTACTGTTAATTCAGAGCATGATCTGGAAAAATTCGTTTGGAAACACAAAGACGCTTTGTTTGCTTCAAATCGCAGTATTTCTCATGACTTTAAAGGGAAAATACACTATCTTGTTTCTGCAGAAACTACAATTGTGCGTGACGCCACTCAAGCATTCGACAAGTCACTTATGCGCTTATTGGATGACTTTGAGCCGATCTTTTCGATAGTGAAACGTAACAAGAACGTAGACGTTTATGAAGATAAAGACAATTATGGGATATTGTTTGATGCAACCAAGTAAGCTGACTATGTACTCTTTATTCTCTTTTTCGCGCGCTCGAATGAATTTAATGCGAACGGGTTTACCAAATGCCACTTTGTAGGGATGTTGAAAGTTTGGTTACATTCTTTCAAGAGGCTTTGGCCAAGGCAGTCATAACATATAGAGATCAATTAATGTCTTTGATGGAATCCACGACAGCTAATACTGTCGAGTTGACTAACGGTAAGAGGGTTGATAATTTAGATGACAAAATACGTTCTACACATATATTTACTTAAACATTTCTTTCAGTAAAGCGTAGGTTGTTTGGTCGAATAGCTCGAGCCATTGCTCTCAATTCGACTCAATTGGAAATCGCACTCAATCAATCACAGCATGAGATGGCGGGATCTTACTTTACTCTTCAGAAGCTCACATATCTGAATCCCAAACTTTCGGAATTACGCGAATCGCTAATGGAAGTGTACATATCGTCTCACGATCAGTGGATCGTACAAGTCGTACATGCAGCCGAGAAGACTATAAACGAAATGTTACAGAATACAATGTGGGATGTGCCAGGTGTCATAACGCTTGTCTGGGAAGGTATTGTATGTCAGAGTCAACTGGTGTAGATTGACGCCATTACCAAGTTTCTTACGATCGTCATTTGGCCACTGTATTAGATGTGTTATTAAAGACGGATTCATCCGAGGTGATAAAGTTACCTGCACAACCAACGAGTACAGTAGCGCATTGCTTGTTCAAAATCTGTCAAGAGATTAACAAAGCCGGTAGTCCTACGATAGATAAGGTAATATTCAGATTAAGTATACGACGCTGCCAAGTTTGACAAAAAACTAATGCAATTCTCGACACATTGCAGGTTGTCCTCAAGAATCTGTTGATGTCTATTTCGACAACAATTTTTACTTGCTATTCTGCATTCGTGTCATCGCCCTCTTTTGCGAAAGTTTCTGAGAAGGGCTCTGTTCAAATGCTTTTTGATATCAAGTTTTTGACAAAAGTATTTGAAGGATGTTGGTTAGCTTCTGATGGTTTGGGCTATGATACTGACGATGCTTCCCATACTGCAAACAAACACGACGAAGAGATGAAGATGCAACGAGAACGCTATAACTTGGTTGTGAACAACGTCTTGACTACGATAAAAGGAAAGGTAAAGTGAAAGACTTGTGAGGGCATGTTGGATTTTCCGAATGGGATGATGAAGCAGAATTAATTTACCTCTTTACTTGTTTAATCTATTCTTACCAGATTGACCCAATTGATTTGGCAGTATTTGAACCACTTTTGAATAAAAATATTGACAGGCATTACAGTCGTAGTATCATACTGCTTGGTTTGATCCTTCAACTGAATCCCAGGGTAGCAGACATGTAAGCGTTGAACCGATCATCGAGTTTTGTTTTTATTGACTGTTTTGTAACATTTTAAAATTTTTTGGAAACGTCGCCATTACAGAAGTAGAAGAAAAGCCACAGGAATACAAGATTATCATAATATTTTTACGGTCGCCCCTCAGGCTGCAAGGTTTACGCTGCTGCCAATCAGTCACAAGAGGAAGGAAGGCAGAAAGATAACCATTGATTATTAATTGTGAATATGACGTTAATAATAGTAATACTATAGAAACAATGTAGAAATAAAACTAATAGAAAGTATAAATATTGCTAATCGTAATAGTATCTGAGTTGATTGCGTGGTAAGAAATACACGATTTATTATTATTTTATTATTTATTTACGTATTAACTCACAAGTAAAACTCCACTAGACAAATACAGTTAAATTTACATATTTTCCCAGGAGCAAATACATATAAAGAGATAGAAATAAAAATGTTTTTTGTAAGGGTTTTCCCTTGTCACATAATATCCCAAAGAAATTTTTAATCCCAATGACATCGCTACCAACCGTTTATTCTATTCAAGTAAACACCCTGTATTAAAGGGTCCCACGCTGTAGTAGTAATTCCCTTACTCTGTCGTCGGCAGATTGTCCAGAAGTCGACGAAACAGAATCGTTCACACGGTGACCCAGATCCAAAGAACCCCCGTGTTGCCCCAGTTGTTGCTGACGAAGCGTTCGAGAATGCCCGTTCGTTCCTCCATAATTGCCTGTACTCTGTAATGATGACCGAGAACCGACAGATCCAAAATCTTGGATATGTGCAGTCTCCATTGGTCGAAAAGTAGTGGCATTGTTGTTCAATGACGGAGGAGCAGTTGTACTCTCACCTAAACCTCCTTGGTTCAGAGGTGGAGTCGAGGTGGATTGCATTCGTGAATGTGTAGAGTACGCTCCATAATTTCCGATAGAATTGGCGGGACTGCTTCTTATCGAAGTCGAGCCTTCGGTGCTCGGATCCCCAAATGGATCCCGACCCTGTACGGTATTTAGTGCAGCGTCCAACTTTCGAATATCAACCCTAGTGATTGGTGTAGGAACAACAATCGATGCGCGCCGCGAGTCTGTTGATGTTGCGGGATCTTCTGCAATACTGTCGGCTACTGAATATCCTGCATTGTTCGTTGAAATTGACGATCTCTGGTCTTCTCCTCTCGTTATTCCTCCTATTGGAGATATCACGCTATCATTGGGCGTAAAAGGATTTACATTACCTTCGCCTCTTAAAATATAGCCAATCTGTGCATCTTTTGTTTCAGAACGCGTAGTAGGTCGTCCATATGTCTTGTATTTACGTCTACGACAAAACCAGATTCCCAAAACCAATATTACAATAGCAGCGGCAACGGCAACTCCAACTATTGCTGCAATTAACCCTGGTGACCCTTTAGATTTATTAGGCGAAATCGATGTTTGAGTAGATGTTGGCCCAACTGAAGCAGTCGATGAAGTCAATGTAAATAATGAGTCAGTCGATAATGAGTCCGTTGATAATGGCTGACCGTTTGGGTCTGTTGTTGAAGTAGGGATAGCGTTTGGGTCTGCTGTTGAAGTAGGGATAGCGTTTGGATCTGGTGGTATTGGAGCGGGGTTAGGAGCTGGTAGTGTTGGAGCGGGGTTAGGAGCTGGTGGTGTTGGAGCGGGGTTAGGAGCGTTTGGATCTGGTGGTGTTGGAGCGAGGTTAGGAGCGTTTGGATCTGGTGGTGTTGGAGCGGGGTTAGGAGCGTTTGGATTTGGTGGTGTTGGAGAAGCGTTTGGATTTGGTGGTGTTGGAGAAGCGTTTGGATCTGGTGGTGTTGGCGCGGGGTTAGGAGCTGGTGGTGTTGGCGCGGGGTTAGGAGCTGGTGGTGAAGGAGCTGGAGCTCCTCCATTTGGGTCACCTCCTCCTGCCGTTGGGGCAGCCATGAATTATCTTTTTTTCTATTTTTTTCTTAACAATCTAAGGTACTTCCTTGAGATAGATGCCTCGGAAGTTTCTTAGCAGTTTTGTCATTTGTTTGCGTGTACGGTCTTTATCTACGGGTTAGATTGAAGGATCTCAATTTTCAATTGGTGATTTTAAGTGACTATGTAATAAGGTTAGGGTATTTTTAGAATGACGTATAATATCTATATTACTAACTTTTTTGGTCAAAAGAACGTTCTTGTATATTCACGTGATGTTGTTTGTACGATATAAATAATCAATCTTTTAGCCAGACGACCCTAGCGCTACCGCTAATCCTTTTAAACAGCAACAAGTATTGTCAAAGTATCGCCACACTGGCTTCTAGGGAAAGAAAGTGATCATTATTGTAGCTCAAATGCTTACATTCTTCCGAGCATGGACTGAATCTGAACATGTGTTTTGTAGAACAGAACGGCTGCATACAATAACAAACAGTGTTGCATCGAATGCATAGGCAATTGTTATTGAAATAGTACAAAATTTATGGTTGAGGGGTCATTGTTACCCTGTTCATGAGTAAATGGCGTTTTGGAGACTTGAGCCATCAGTGGTATCCTTTGCTAATATAAAAGTAGACTACTCCCAAATAGCACTTTTAATTTTGACCAATGAAAAAATTGTGTATTGTTTATCGTGTAACATTTCTCCTGGGTTGAATTCCTAATACGGATTTATGTCCTTGACGCTAACGCTAATAATGACAGCATCGATCTAATTAAACTGAATTGACATCAACCATTTTAGTATTAGTCAAATTAATCGCCAATTCACTTGATCAAGATTTTCCTTTCTTGGATAAATCAGAAACCCTGACGAATATATTAAAATCTTAAACCTCTGCTGGTTTACTTTTTCAACAAAATCTATACTACATGCCCCTTCTCATAAAACGTTTCAATCTTAAAACTATTTCTGCAAATAAATATAATTATTTTCAATTGCAATAAGCTTTACTCTCTGATTCGATCCGACAAAAATAAATACGTTGTTATTGTCCTTGTTTGTGATCGCATGCAAAGCAGTAGTGAAACGTCTAATCGCCGAAATAGTCGGACTATCACGTTAAACGATAAACCATCCTGTCTTTGTACAATCGACTGCACCAAATTTTTTACAAAGAATTTTAACAATAATACAACTGCAGTTAATAATTCCTGTTTTATTTACTGACCTTTCTGTCGTTTTCTATACACAGTATTTTCTTGTGACGATCTCTGTAGCTAATTAGCATAGGTAGTGCAACAAAAATAAATAAGAATGTAGAAGTTGGCAAATTATAAGACCACGTATGTTAAAGTTTCAAGCATTCATAACGTCGTTAGTCTGAAAAAATCGAGGTATTATATTAGAACAAAAAGATTCTATACGATGTCAATCATCTTGTCCAACAACGGGACAAGAAAAAAAGTCGCTGTTATAAGCCAAAGAATTTTTTAAATTAATACTTTGCGCGCTTAATAGTGTGATTGAAAAATTTGTTCCACAGAAAGTTCGTTTATTATTTAAGTAATGAAATTCGTTCCGGAAAAATTGTTATAAAAATTCTTTGAGACTGAAAAACTTTGCTTTTAAAATTGTATTACTAAACATGAAATGTGGTTTAACGTACTGAAGACCGCTATTATGTAGGCTATTTTGTGTTAATAATAATTTGACGTAGTGTCGTGGTTGGCAATGACGTCCCATCTTTGGAGCATTGTAAAGCAGACATTAATCTTGGTATGTCAGCTAAAATTATGACCGTAGTTCTGCATTTGCGACAATAACTTGAGAAAATTAATTACAACCAATTTATCGTGAGATTGGACAATGTTTTAATTTCGCCGAATTCGAGCTTCTAATATATGATATACCACAAATCATTTGATAGCATGACTTTAAAAGTATATTAATTGTTAAGTTTTGATACTGTCTGTAAACGGCCTCTATATACGTAATTTATAGCGGAGACATTTATTTTCACCAACAATATTTCACTAACATTATTTGAAAATTAACTTTTTTTTGGTAGTTGATTGTCGGTGAATGCACTGTTAGTGAAATAATAGTCGGCAAAATTAAAATAAGACGCCCAATTTATTGTGCATTTGTCAAGGCATACATTTTTATAACAATTAAGGGTTTAGCTTTCCTTTTTCAAAGCCGTAGCAGTTTAAAGTTTATAACAGTAAAAAAATTAACAAAGAAAAAACTCCATATTAATATACAAAATTACAATATAAAGTATAATAAGCTTACGGCAAATTAGCTGGTCTAACTGATTATAACCACATTTAGAGCTAGAATTTTGATCAGACGTAACAAAATTTATGTTATACTAAACTGTTTAATTAAACAATTGAATAATCTTTCCCGCCATCCAACGTTCGTTATTGCAGATAGACATTAATCTAGCTCCCGTAAGCTGACTTACCCGACTCATTTAACATCCTCGACGATAAAATTTTTTCCACACATAGGACTATATTATTAAAACAACTAATTATAATCCTCAGTCGAAGAATGTATTAATTTTAAAAAAGTGATAAATTTTGCGTGTCATTTTAAAAAATTCCTTATATTAGTTCAATTGCCGCGTCTAGTAATAAGTCCAATTATTACATATGTTGAATTTTTTGCGGGCTATTTATTGGACTTATTCTCGGTCTCTCTCTGCATTATAAAACCTACAATCAGCTCGACAATATAAGCCAAAAGCTTGAAGCGATAGTTCAAGCAGTCGAGCCAGGAAAAATTAAAGTAAAATCCAAACCCGCTAAACTACTCAGTGAGCGAAAATACCGAGAGAACGTCGAAAATATTTTAAACAATTATTTGATACGAAAACTGAGCTGGACTCAACTTTCTCGTTTAACAAAATGGCAACCGAAATCTATACTTTACGTGAAGGAAAAGGCATTGCAGCCTCAACTCTAAAAAACTTTTACCTGCGAAAAACTAATCCACGGAAATGACTGTCGAAGCAGTACAGGAGTGGGTTGATAAAAAAAAGAAGAAGACGTTGACAGCCTTAATAATACTGTGTAGCATAGATTCACTAGCCGACCAAAGTATAGGAGTACTCATCAATGGCTTTGGGTTCGAGTATTTCCTCCCATGCAATCACTCTAGTGAATATGCAAAAGTACTGTACATACTTTGTTTAAGAGAGTAATAAAGAGAATTCAGTTATCCATTATCATACGACTCGTTACGTAAAAAACAATTTGCTTCACTTCCGAAAACAGAATTGCATTACGTAGTAGCAGAATACAATACAACTAACCGAGCCTTTGGGACAGTATGAGAAGAAAATAGACATTTGTTAACGTGATATGCAAAGAAGAGATTTGCCTTTGTCTTCATTATCATTTGTCTCTGACAAAAGCATGGAGGGTTCCCGATCTGCTTTGCCAAGTGTGCTGGATCCGGGTAACTATAGTTGATTCGGCGCTTCAATGCGGAGAAGTATCACATGTTTGTGTAAGTAAAACGTATAAACAGGGCTGGCGCAGAGCTAGATCGCGACTCTTTTGCATTGACAACATGTTTACCTTGGACGACGTTCCTGATTTGTTTATCGGTTCATATATAAAGAAGAACAGAAATGCTACAGATAAGGATATCATCAACGCATACGAAGAACAACAAGGTAAGCAAGCAATGAATTGGGAGGATAGAGGAGCAACGGGGAGAAGAGTTTGAATACTGTTACTGGTTTGTGCTATATTGCAAGAGAGGTGGTTGGGGGTTATTAGTTGGGGCAGAGCAGAGTCGTAGTATGACTAGGCTATACGTAAACTCGTTTCAAAAGAGACAAGAAACAGTATGGGTTAAATTAAGAAACAGAAGAATAGTTCGAATGCATTACAACACGCGTCAGGAGGAGTATAGTTCGAATGCTGTTATAACCTGAAATGCTTATTGCGTTACTAACCTTTTGGTTTCTGTCTTGTTAGCAACGAGCAGTTCACGCTTTTCGGTAACAGCCAGCACGGGTTTGTTCTTGGTCTAAATATGCTGCTCCTAAACAACAAGAGACTAAAAGTCCCTTTTTTTCTTCTCTTCTTCAAGTTCTCGATAAGGCTTCAAAGTCCCGTTTCAGCAAGATGTGGATTATTTGGCCAAGCTGGACCAGCGAATTCATGTGGTTGCCAATGGTGGGAATGAATTCTACAACTATTTGGCTATTGTACAGTCCTCAGGATATGGGAAAACTAGAACTGCCCTTGAGCTAGCTAAAACGCGTCCACTTGTATACATGTGTTTCTGCAAGGAGGACTCAACTGGATGCCCACCTGCAACTCTGCAGAGTAAGGAGTTGTTGAAAGATCTCTGATCTTCTGATTTCGCATATGCTGAAAGAATTGCCTTGTCATTAACGGGGATGGACAAGTTCTCTAGGAACCAGTCCCAGAACTGGTTCTGGGACTGGTCTTTTAGTTCTCAGTTCCAAATGGTTTTTAATAACCAATAGAAGTTTAGAACATGCAGACAATTTCCTTTTAATGAAAATTAAATTTCCATTAAAAGGTAAATGTAATGTTGGACAAGGTTTTTGAGGACTTAGACTGGTCTTTCTGGTTCTCAGTTTCAAATGGTTCTGTAATAATAATTAAAATGTAGAATATACATGTGCTTTATCTCCTTTTTCTAACAGTGTTAAAAAAAATGACATATCTTCTCACAAATATGCCACTTGCTGTATTAGTATTACCATGCAATAATCTTATTCATTATGAATGATGATTACATCCCTACTGATGAACTTTATTTTAATGATGATGCAGAATTATGGGCAGAAGATTTGATTTTGAATGTACCTAGTGTGTCATCATCTTCATCAACTTTAACACAAGATACAACTATTACTAATTATAATGCTAATAATAATACTCAAAGTAAGAGTTACCAAACAAGCACTGTATGGATACATTTTGATAAGTCACTCCCAACTCACCCCAATACTCCAGTGTGCAAAATATGTAAAGTTGTATTCTCAATCAATTCCAGTGTATTCATGTTATGGAAGCATCTAGGTATGCATTCTATTGATGCACCTAAAAAACAACAATGAACTCTTCATGAGTTTTGCAATGACCCTCATCCTGGAGTTGAACAAAATCGATGAGATAAAGTGATTGCAAAGTGGATAGTCTGCGACCTCCAACCATTTAGTACAGTTGAGGTGACAGAATGGTGAGAAATGATTTCTACATTAGATCTGCAGTATACATTTCATAATAGACACACAGTACATGACCAAACCAAATTGTTGCAAATTATGAAGAAAAAAGACAGTTAATTAAGACAATGGTCAGTCAAGTTCCAGGGAGAGTATCATTTACAGCAGATATGTGGGCTGCAAAAAATCATACAGCTTTCCTCAGTCTTACAATTCATTATGTTGATTCTGATTGGACACTTAAGACATTTCTTTTGGATATTATTCTGATGACTGTGTGACATACAGGGCTGAGGCTATAATAATAATGAATGTGTTAGACAAACACAATCTAAATCTGGGCAGCATTAACAACTGATAATGCTTCAGCAATGTTAGTCTGTGGTAGAACACTTGCAAAAGAGCTGGAGGATGAGTTTGACAACTTCTTTGCTCATTACCAGTGTGCAGCTCATGTGCTTAATCTTGCAGTCCAAGAAGGTCTCCAGCAAGTGAATGAAATAGTCAAAAAAGTCTGAAGCATGATGACTTATCTATGATCCTCTGCACCAACTGTCATGTCTCTAAAAGCATTGTGTGAGATTAAAAGCATTAATTATCTTGCTCCTGGGAATTCCATGTACTATATGCTAAAGAATTTTGAACATTTGCAGCCTGTACTCCAAATGCTTCAGGCTGGCAATTCTACTATAAGAGAATGATACCCATTACCATCCAAATTGCAGGATATTTATGATATTATTGTATTACTAGAGCTGATCAAGTGGGCTACTCTTTTCCTCTCCACATCAAAATATCCAACACAAGGTGACATACGATTATGTTTTTTAGCAATCTTGGAAAATCTTGAAAACAACCACAACCAGTCAACAACTGCACGTAGTATTTACAACAAGCTCAACGATTATTGGCCCATTTTAGATTGCACATCTCAAATCTCTGCAATACTTCTAAACATTTAAAAATCAAGAGGAACAAGAGCAAGTCAAAGCAACCATTTTAGAGTTAACATCGTATTGCGGTTCCTCACCATATAATATGGACGAAAGTATCAATGATGACAACATCGATGTGCGCAACTATTTTCGCCAACTCCGACAAAGAAACTCATCTATTAACACTCATTCTGGGTCTGTTGTATTGTCTAACCATAATACCGGAATCACCACTACTTCAAATAACAACTCTGCAAATGAGCAGCAACTAATTATGTCTGAGCTCACGCGCTATTTGTCTGCGCCATTAGAAGATAAAGTCGACCCACTGCTTTGGTGGTATACTAATTCTCAAAAAAATGTATATCCGATTCTATCGCTCATGGCACAGGATTATCTATCTGTTCAAGCAACAATTGTTGCTTCTGAACAGACATTTTCGATTGCCGGACAAGTAATAACGTCACAGAGAAATCGTTTAGATCCTGATACTGCGAGAGCAACTCTATGCTTACGATCGTGGATATTAAACAATGTATGTTCATACTAAACAAACATACGTTAAGCTATTACGTTCGTCAGGTCGTCGTTTTTGCGGCGTTACAGCACTAAAGTAGTGCAAGATTCTTTGAATATGTAATTGAATTGCTTCTATACCAGCTGTTGCTGGTTATACAGCGATAGTGATAGTGGTTAGTCTGGCACAGCTAGATAGCGTTTAGTATTCGAGTGAT